GACCTTCACTTGTGCACTGTGATGTATGCACATACAATTAATACAAATACGCTCACAAAAAGAGAAAAAAGAGAGAGAGAGAGAGAGAGAGAGAGAGAGAGAGAGAGAGAGAGAGAGAGAGAGAGAGACTAGTATGACCAATTTTCCCATTTTAGCCATAAAAAATACAAGTTCCAGTTCACCTGTCAGATGAGATAGCTGGGGTGATCTGCTAACTGGGGTGTCCCCTGCGTACTCCTCAGAAGGGGAAATGGGCCTCAGAGAAGTGAGGTAATCTGCTGTTGACACACAGCCAGCAAACCACAGAGCTAAGACTGCAGCTCAACATAAAACTGCAAGGGGAAACTTAGGTAAAAAGGGATAGTTGTGAAATCAGTACTTGTTGAATGGAGAAAGAAGAAACTGCTAGCTCTATTCTGATGGTGAGCACAGTCTGCTTAAGCTACAAAAGGATGCTGTGGTTGTCACTCGAGAGTGGAGAACACGAAGACAAACCTAATTCATATAAATTCCACAGAGTGACAAACCTAGAAGAAACCCCAAAGCCACTGTGTTGCAGGTGAAGTGGTGGAGCCACCGTGGATGGGGAAGGAGAAACTTGCCATACGCCTTGGGGTGGCAGGGTTTGAGCCTCAGCCACAGGGAAGGGTGGTGTGTTAAATGAGGTTTGTGTCAGGGCAAAATACCTGAAACCACTAAGGAAGGATCAGCTTTAGCTCTCGGTCCATAGTCACTTGGCTCCATTGCTTTGGAATCATGCATGCTGAGAGGGACTATCATGGCAGGAGGCCTGAGGTAGAACAAAGGGCTCATCCCAAGGTACACAGTGCAGAGAGGAACAGGAAAGGGGAAAGGGGAGAAAAGGAGAGGAGGGGGAGGGGGAAGAAGGGAGGAGAGGAGGAATGATGTGGAAGGAGGACCCAAGGACAAGATGTACTTTTCAAAGGCACCCCCCCACACAATGACCTACTTTCTCCAACCAAGCTCCACCTCCCAGTTCCCACCACCTCCCAATAATGCCATCAAATTATGAACCCATTCCTGGACTAAGCACCAATCCAGGGGGCGGGGGGGGATCATGATCCAGTCCCATCTTGATGGCTTAATCTTCTGGCTGGGGTCAGGTCAGGCCTTTAACACAAGAGCCCTTTTTAAGGGGTGGGGACCCTAACAGGTGCCACCACTATCCACTGCAGCACAGGGATGCTATGCAAGGGCTGGGGTGCACCGGGAGGGCTGAGACATCCCTGCAAAGCACTCCAGGCCTTCACAGAAAGCCCTGCAGAGGCCCAGTGAAGGTACAGCCTATGTAACTGGGTGGGAATGTGGAAAGGGACTCTCGGACTGTAGAATGTATAGGCTGGAGAGCAAAAAAGACCATCCAGCAACCATCCCAGGAGACACTGAAAACCCCGCTGTTTAGAAGGCAGGGCTCAGGTTCAAAGCACTAAGAGACTACTGGAGTCTCACCAGAGTCTAAGCCCCATCACACCCTCAGAACAGTATGGATGACTCTAACCAGAGCTTCAGGGAAGCCTAGCCCAGCTCCACTACATTCAGATGGAGCCACCCATTCTGAAACAGACAGAAAAAGATGAACATTGTCTCCTGGGCACAGCTAGTCTGCCTTCATACATCACACCTGACACACAGATTTAGGAGATGTTCAAAACACATATAAATGAAAATGTAGCCTATCAGGAGTAAAATTCAACAAAAATCAGACAGGGTTGGCTGGGGTGTGGGAAATAGGGGCCTTTAAATCATAAACATGTCCAATGACCTAAAGGAAAAGATGGATGCTATGTGAGAATGGATGGGGAATTTGAACAGAAGTCAGTGAGAAAGTCCAATGGATCTGTACTAGAATTCTAAAAGGAGGAAACATGAATGTTTGAGGAAGAAACGGCTATCAACCCACAGATCCAAGAAGCCTAGTAAAGCCCAGGAAGGATGTGTGCAAAGAAAAAGTCCACAGAAATCTGTGAAGTTTTGCTTCCCAAAGCTTCAACCACTGGTTAACTGCAGTCTGAAAACATTACATAAAAAATTGGAGATACACAGTTCACAGGTTTAAATTATGTACCATTCTGACCAGTGATAGAATCTTGGGCCACCCTGTTTCCTCCCACTGAGATGTGGCTCCTCTCTTTGTCCAGCATATATATTCACACTGTAGATGCTACCCTCCCATTAAGTCTCTCAGTAGCTCTCCCAGTTATCAGGTGACCCTATTTTACTTACTGGTCCTTGAAGAAGTGATCCTGGTGATTCACACATGTAACAGAGCAGCTTCCTTGTGGTGAAAAGGTGACAGTTTTCAATAAGGAAAGAAAAAAATCATATGCCAGTGTTGCTAAGATCTACAAGAAGAACAAATCTTCTGCTGATAGAACTATGAAGAAGGAAAAGGTATCTATGCTAGGTTTACTATCCTGCCTTAAACTGTGAAGTTGTGACTGCAATGTGTGAAAAGTGCTAAGTTAAGATGGCAAAGGCACAGAGTGTATGTGTGTGTACAGGACAAGACACAGTACAGTGTTTGGTCCCATCGGTGGTTTCAGACATCTGCAGGGGACCTGGGGTGTGCCCTTCTGGGTCAGGAGGTCTCTGTGTGGTTACAAAAGAACCAAGCTGATAAACATTAAATCTTGAGAGCAGCCAAAAAGTGAGAGGTAAAGGGCATATTACACACAAGTAGACAAGGTGACATGATGCTCCTGTGGTAGTTATAGAAACAAGGTGACCACACACTGTGTACTTATGATGCCGACATGGAAAATCAAGTCAAGTTGGCCTCCTCCATCCAGCAAGTTGAAGGGGAACAAGGATGACTTCATACAGATGGAAACTGAGGGAACAGGTCCCTACCCAGAAATACTGTAAGAACTTCTGGGTAAAATCCATACCACAGAAACAGGTTTGCTTGCCCTTCCCACCCACTCCACAAATGAGCAATTGCTTAATTCCCTATAAGCTGTGGTGGGGAAAGAGGCTGCTGTGAAACTAGGAGGGATAAGCAGCAAGTCAGAGACTGGGGAGTGAAGACATGATGACCACAGCAGGAACTGGCAGGCACAGATGATGAACCCCTGCCTGCCCATCTCAGCTATGGGGTCCCTGGGCCCAGGTTTTCATGGTGATGATCAGGACCACATAGGATGACTGGGAGGGGCTTAATCTGGGCTGCTTTAAGAGGCACAGCTTGTGTGTGGTCACTCTGAGAGTCTATCCACCAAAGAAAAACTGACTCTGCCTTTTAACCATCCACCTTTCAATCTTACTTTAATAGTAGTTTTATTTTCTAATATTATTTTAAGATTTTTAATTTTTCATTTTATGTGTATTAGTGTTTTGCCTGCACGCATGTGCACCACATGCTTACAGTGCCCATGGAGGCCAGAAAAGGGGATTGGATCCCCTGGAACTAGAGTTACGGATGGTTGTGAGCCACCATGTAGGTGCTAAGAACCAAACCCTAGTCCTCTGCAAGAGCGTCCAGTGTTCTTACCCACTGAGCCATCTCTCCAGCCCCTCAATGGTAGTTTTAATGAGGAGATAAGCAAATTACAGACCTGCATAAGGGGAAACTTTCATAATCACCCTGAACACATACTGGTTCCTATTTGTAACAATGTACTGTCCTGCTTCCTTAAAGCACTGGAAAGAGAGTTTGGAGTCAATTGTGAGACCTGGCTCTACAAATCACTCTCCCTCAGGGGTTTCCTCATCTGTGTTTGTTCTTGAGATAAGATACATGTATTTTGTTTTATGACTGGGTATTACTGTCAAAATGAGAGCCCACTCTTCTCTCAAAACCTGACAGAAACAATCTGTGTAGCTGAATGCTCACCTGCACCTGGTGCTCCTACTCAGCTGTAAAGCCCTTGAGGGCACAAATGGTACCCAATCCTCTGTACAGGGCCAGCTGAGACCACCTGCTGTCCTAGTCAAGGCTGAATCCATGACTGACTGAGAGGCATTGCAGCATTTAACAAAGGCCACTTAACCACTAGTCCACAGGGCTAGTTGAGGCTGTTCATGTACTCACTGGCTGCATTTGCAGCTTCAGGTTTGAATTATGTGTACCACCTTACCATGTCACCACAGGCCTCTGCTGCTTGTGCCACTGGAAATCAGGTGCTGACAGCATAAGCGAGCACCTGGGTGGAACCAGCAGCACCCTGGGAGCAGGCAGCCACATGCACCAATCAGGAGCGACAGGAGGAACAGAGCCCAAAATGTTTGTAAGGACAAGGTAAGCCCCAGAAGGACCACAAAAACCAGGCTCCAGGCAGCTCAGCAAACCCCAGTCTCCAATGTACCTCAACAGGAGTCAGGTACTCTAGCCACAAGGGACTCTTCCACTGACTATGTCTCCCACCAGGCTCTCCTGCCTCTGACCTTGGTGTCCATCAAGTGGGCAGCACCCTGGCTGACTTGGCTAAACACAACTGAGGCCATGACCAGTTAGCCTCCAATGCTCTCAAGGAGCATCTGCTACAGAGCCACCATCACTCACCATCCTTCCCCACCAGTGAATGGGGACATGGTGGTCTGCTGTGCACTGGGCAATCTGACTTGTGAACCACTTCTACCTGTTGTCCAAATGAATCCTGCCTCCAAATATTGGCAGCATCACTTAGAGACGGGTTGTTAAGATTCATTTGCTGTGACTTGTTCCCCCTTTGCATGTGTGAACAATAAACCATGCATTTGAAAGAGACACTTGTCTCTCTGTGATACGTAAGTCCTGTTCAAGACAGTGATCTAGCAGCCTATAGAAACCCACAGCAGGTGCTTCCAATAACAGATAGCAGCCAAGGGAGGTAATGAGGGAGCCAGATCCTACACTGCCTGTCCTAGCTGTGAGAGTGAAAACAGGCCCTGGTGCAGTCTGTATTAGTTACTTTTCTGTTGCTATAATAAAACAGTACAACCAAGGCAACTTACAGAAGGAAAAGTTTATTTGGCTTATGGTTCCAGAGGAATGAATCCACCAACTGAGGGCCAAATGTTCAAATACTTGGAGCCTATGGGGGGAGTGGGGACAGCTCATTCAAACCACACAGTCCATCAGTGAGAATGGGATATAGGATTTAATGGTCAGGACAGTAAAACCAGTCAGCATGACACCCCATCCTCTTCCCACACCTGCTCCTCTGCTTGAATTCCCCTCTACCTTGATCTGGCTTCCTCTCAGTCACTTCAGCTGACAACACAGTCTCAATCCCCCCAGCTGTCCACATATTCTTCTCACCCAGCCATGCCTGCCATTTATGGTTCAGTAAATACTTGGTACATAGATTTAAAATAAAATCAGTTTTGAAGTTACATGTAACAAAATGTGTTGCTGGCTCAAAATACCCGAGATAATTAACTTGAGAAACAGTTGCCTGGTATGCTAGGCCTATAATCCCAGCATCTGGGAGGCTGAAGCAGGGGGATTATGAGTTCCAGGCTAGCCTTGCTATAATAGTAAGAGACTGTCTAAAAAACAACACAAAATGGACTTTTAAAATTTTAAAGAAGTACAATGTTTTAATGACTCAAGATTTTTGTAGACTAAGAAACCTTTGTCTACCATAAGATGGTGAGGCCATACTGCCTTCTATATTTGAAATTCTCTTCCTCCATGGCCATCCACTCAGTTTCACTGCTGCCCTTAAACTCAGTTCAATTCCCTGCCCTACCCATGTCCAGTGGGAGTACACAACATCTCCAATGCCACTGCCCAACTGCCACCTCTGCCTCAGAACCCCATGCTGTGCTTCTTAGTCACAATAATGTCATTCTCTCCAACACAAAAGCACTTCAGTAGTGGATCCTGTGTTGGTTTCTCTCAGCTCCTATCCCACGCCAGTGCTGCTGTAGCCCAGCCTCTAGACAGGGAAGCAAGGTGCCTGTCTGTAAGTGGAAAGTGTTTGCTGCCTGTTTTATTTTAAAACTTATGTCTAGAAAAGGGCTGTGGTAGCACAAATTTGCAATATCAGCACTGGGACCACTAAGGCAGAAGGATCAGAAGTTCAAAAACAACCTGGGCTATACAGCAAGACCTTGTCTCAAAACAATTAAACAAAACAAAAACCCTTATACTAGATATTGTGATCACAGAACCATTACGTCCTGTGGCAAACTGTACAAATGGCAAGAGGCACTCAAGAGAGTGGGTGGTCTCAGAGCCCTGAATCAAGCTGATGTGTTCCTTAAAAAAGAGGTTTTCCAGAAGGACCCAGAGAGGCTGCCCTCTTCAAAGGCCTGCTTCATGCTGATCTAAGTGTGAATGAAGTTCTCAGTGTTGCCCGTTCATTTACTAAACTTGACGTCGTCATTAGACAGACTGACAAAATCATTTTCTACAGTTGGAGAGCAAAAACTTTTTAAAATATTACCCTGAAGATCAACATGAAAAAGAGATTCATATAGTTTTCTCTTACATGCAGTGTTCTGCCAGCCTAGAGATGCTAGAAAAATGGCTTCAAAGTGTTCTTACCATCAGAGGACGTGGGAACGTGCACCTTAAGTCAGGTTTCTGACAGAAGTTAAGATGTTCCTTAGAGGCTGCCCAGTGCATGTGGCCTCCTGCTAGTGCAGCAGTCCTAGGCAGATGGCTGCGACTCACAAGTGCAAGTACACTCTAGGCCCACAAGCTCTTCACAGTCCACAACTGAAAAATATCTTCATGGAATCAACAAAGGGTGTAAAAACACTGGCACCATGAGAGTTAACTTAGGTTCATGGTGCCATCCAAGGCCTCTCCAAGGAAAGTTCAAGTCTGACGTGTAAGAGTCAGCCTTGGCTCACCTCCATGGGTTCCGAGACAAGGCGTCAAGGATGCAGCCCACCCGCTGCATGCCGTCAGCTGAGACTACTGATTTCTGCTGCTGCTGGTCTCTCTGCCACTTGCTCACTGGTCCCCTGGCACCTGACTAGGTGTTGTGAACACAGAGCGTGAGTATGACAGGACACCCAGCAGAAGCAGGGCTAACCTCAGCAGCCTTTCTGAGTGATGTCCAGGCCTGAGGACTTTGTGATTTGCAATGTTGTGAATATCTGTGTACAAGGAAGAAAACAAAAACAGTAATGCAGACATCACTACTGCTTTAAGAGAACAATTCCAACTACATTAAAATTTGTTAACATTTGCTAGAATAAGTTACTAATACGAAATATATTGAAGTAAGTTACTAAGAAAAATTCTGAATTTACATTTCATAAGAGTCTTTCAAACTGTGCTACTTGAAGCCCACTGACAACATGTTATTGAAGCTGGGCAGTTGACTCCTTGTAAAGGGCTGGCCATACAAGTATGAGGACCCATGTTCAGTCCCTGCAACCCATGTGAAAGCAGCTGGGTGTGGTGGCACATACTTGTGATCCCGGTGCTGGCAAGGCAGAGACAGGTGGATCCCAGAGCTTCCTGACCAGCCTGGGCTACTTGATAAGCTCCAGGCCTATGAGAAACTCTGTCTCCAAGAGGTGGACGACACCTAAGGGAATAGTCCTCAAGGCTGTCTTCCGGCCTCCACACAGACCTCCTGTTCCCTACCTCTTCCCATTTACATACACACACAGACAGGTGGATCCCAGAGCTTCCTGACCAGCCTGGGCTACTTGATAAGCTCCAGGCCTATGAGAAACTCTGTCTCCAAGAGGTGGACGACACCTAAGGGAATAGTCCTCAAGGCTGTCTTCCGGCCTCCACACACACCTCCTGTTCCTCCTTCCCACACACAGACCTCCTGTTCCCTACCTCTTCCCATTTACCACACACACACACACACACACACACACACACACACACCCTCCTGCTCCCTACCTCCCCGCATGTGGGGTGGATCCCGATGGTGTCATTCAGCTGCTGCTTCGTGAGCCCACATTTCATCGCGGCTGTAAATCCCTGGGTGATCTCTCCAGCATTCGGTCCCAGAATGTGAAATCCTATCACACGGTCCTTTAATACAGGAATAAAGAGTCCCTGTAGGTTGATGGTCAGACTAGGAACATACTCACTGCATGTTCACAGCTAAATTCACAGCATCTCCCACAGGAAAAGAACTGCATAGAGAACAAGAACATGTGAGGTAACTGCTCTAAGAACCTGTAAAATGAGTCAGTGAACACGTGCCCAGAGCCGAAGCACACTCAAACTCACTAGAATGGGCATCTGCCCACTGCATGAAGAAGCTCGTGGATGTGATGTAAATTCTGAACTATGCTGAGTCTGCACAAGGCACAGCAGATCTGCACTAAGGCCTGGCTCCAGAGTCATCCAAGGTCTAGGGTCACACTAAACACAGAGTGTTTGTGCCCAGGGAGAAGGGTGCCTGCTCCTGACACAAAGTAGAGCTCATGGAGGAGTACTGAGACATTCTCCAAGAAAGTGTGCAGTCGATGTGCAAGTAACTGTACCGCAAACTACTCACAGTCAAAACTCTGGCCTCTCTGCTGATTGTCAGAGTTGATAGGTGAAGAGAGGACGTAAGAGGGCAACAAAGCCAGGCACAGGAGACATCTCTGCCTGCCCAGACTCTGGACATTGGATAATGAACTACTGTTCAGAGCAGACAGCCTCACACACACCGGTCAGGTTCATAGGGCCAGCAGGGTGGACAAAGGCCACTGGGCTGGGGTAAAGCTCCCCACCCAGCAGAAGGGCTAGGCTGGAATTGGAAGCACTGTGTCTTCAGAAGAGATGGAAAAAAGTGAGGGCATCTGGGAGGATCCCAGAGGACAATGGAAAATGAAGATAGGGCGCAGGGCCAGGGAAGAAGCACTTGGAACTTTTTCCATTCTGCTTGTGCTGGACAGCTTTAGTGTCAACTTGACACACCTGGGTTGAGGGAGCCTCAGTTGGGGAATTACATCTATTGGACTGGCCTGTGGCCATGTCTGAGGGGCATCTTCTTGATGAGTGATGAGGGAGGACCCAGCCCACTGTGGGTGGTGCCACCCCTGGGCAAGTGGGCCTGTGTTGCATAAGAAAGCAGGCTGAGTAAGGGCCAGGGGAGCAAGCCAGTAAGCAGCTTTCCTCCATGGCCTGTGCTCCAGCTCCTGCTTCCAGGTTCCTGCCCTGAGTTCCTACCTTGAGCTCCCTGATGAACTGTGACCTGGGAGTTGTAAGCCGAATAAATCCTTTCCTCCCCAAGTTCGTATTGGTCAGGGTGTTTTGTCACAGCAATGAAGAACAAACTAGGACACTGCTGGACAGAAGTAGGGTTTCTGATGTCTAAGTAGGGTTTCTGATGTCTAAGCTTAAGAAGAGTGACACTCAAGAAATGGACACTTGGCCAAGGCTAAGCTATGGCTCAGAGCTGAAGGCTCATCTAGCATGTGCAAAGACTAAGGGGGGAGGAAGGGGGAGGAGGTAGGGATGGGGAGAAGAGAGGACATTAGGGTATAGTAAGAAAAGGGGCCAGAGGGCAAGTGTGAGAGCACAATACAGAGACTTGCTGGGAGGTGAGGGTGACAAGGAACAGAGCAGAAGAAGCTTAAAGTCAGGAGACCAATTCTGGCATACTGCCTCAGGCAGCCACTGTCAACACCTCTGCAAAGGTCATTGGACAGTGGCCCCCCTGCCAAACACCACCCCTCTCCCTTCAAGTTTTTGCAAGCCTTTCCCTAGACAGGACCTCAGGGCCTCTGTGACCACTGCTCCACTCCTGCCCTGCAGACAAACACAGCTGCTAGGACCCAAGTCCCTGGCCAGTGCTAATAGTGGGCTCCTCAGTTACCTGAGACAAGATGGCAGAGATGCAAGAGAATAAGATCATGACTTTGTTGTTTGGAAATGATATGCAAATGCAAGTTGTTAATGCTCGTTTTACCTGGTTTTATGTTTCTTCTTGTGATGCTGTGGGTAAAGCCCAGGCCTAGAGTACAGCAGTTAAACACTCCACTACCCCTGCCCCAAATTAGAAGCTCTTTTCTTGTTTTATTTGAGATAGGGCCTCACATTGTATCCTAGACTAGCCTAGAACCTACTATGCAGCCCAGGCTGTCCTTGAACGTGTGGCAATCCTCCTGTCTCTGCCACCCAAGAACTTAAGTATGAGCCACCGATCTTAGCTGCAGAGCATCAACTTGTACAAGGAAGAAGCAAGCTCCACAGTGCTTTCTGCCCTTGGTGCTCCGTAAGCCTGTTTCACTAAGCTTCTCTTTGCAGGAGGCTGGGGGCACTGACACCCTCTGCTCCTACCTCAGTAACAAGGGTCCTTGAGTAGGCATCTTCCATGCCAAGCTCCGTCAGCACCTGGCTCTTACAGGATCTCCCCTCTGTGTGGGCCTCTCCTTAATATCTGCACATGCTCATCTGTTTATGAAATACATGCATACATGTGTACCACATATAGTGCTGGGCTATGGCCATTCACAGTTCTGAACTCCCAAGGTCAAACTGTCAGCTCAACTCTGCTACATCCCAGAGACACTGGTCAGCAGGAAACCCGCTCCTACCTCAGCCTCTCTAAACACTGTGAGCTCACTTCTGCCCTGAAAACCATCCTTAAAGGGATTATAAAAATCTGAATGCTAAGAATCCAAGCTGTATTTTAAAATCACAGTGGTTCAAGCTGGGGGAGCAGCTCAGTGGTAAAGGGCATGCTTTGTATGATGAGGCCCTGAGTTCAACTGCCAGAGAAAATTAGAGCAGAGGAGAGCACAGCAGAGCATGACAGCCCCAGGCATCGCACGTACACTGTCGAACTTGTTGCAGATTATCTTTGCGTAACAAGTGTTGTTGTCTCTGCCGGCTACCGTCCACTCAAGAGGCCAGAACAAGGTATGATACACCTAGAAGAGGAGAGTAGAGGCTGGAATTAACGTGCTGATGCCCACTCCTTGATATGGTTCCTGTGTGGGATGGGAAGATGACCACTGAGCCAAGCCTCCCACCAATTCATATACACCAAAAACCTGGAAGAGCAGAGGAATCAGTCATCCAGCCTTCATAGAAATGAAGCACACCAATATCCTATCCCCAGCCTATGCCCAGGCCTACCAGCCACGGCCTACTGTACACCACACACCCTGACCCCAGGCCCCTAGGCCACAGCCTGGGTTCCTCCTTGCCTCTTCAGCCTGGCTCAGTCCTCTGGGAAGCAGAGCAAAGCCCAGTGTTCCTCCACCTGCTCAGGACGGCCACAGTCTTGGGGAGTTCCTGTGAGTCACTGCACACAGGGGCAAGGGACTTCAGATCCATAACTCAAAAGTCCTTACTTACACATCCCATTTCCCTCTCTCCCCAGTCGTATTTTTTTCCTTATTAGTTTGCTAGTTCATTTCTAATTCTCTCAAAATAAGAGTAAAATTTTCTAGAACATAATCATAACAGAAACTTGCAAAATTATAAAATAAAAAGTGGCTACAAAGATAAGTGTTTAAAAAAAGATCTTACAAAGGAAGCACAGCCTTACTTCTATATTCTCTTTATTATATACTTCAATGGCTTTCTCCTCAGATAATCCGCAGCAGCCATATTCCAGAGGAGTGAACACTGTAGTGGGAACATTCGTGTAATCGCACTGAAAGAGAAACACAGCACAGTCTCTTATTCTGTAACATGGCTTCCTGCAAACAAAAAGATGGTTACGAGAGTCAACTGTGGTGCGTGAGCACATGATAGACAGCTGGGGGAATCCGAGTACTGGCTGCATTTTCTTCTTTCTCCATTTTTTTTTGTGTGTGTGTATCTATATGTGAACACACGTGTGTGCGCACACTGTGGAGGCCCAAGGTTGATGTTGGGAATCATTCTGTATTGCTCCTCTTCCTTATTCATTGAGGCAGGGTCACTCAATCAAACCCGATACAGCTAGTCACACAAGCCAAGCTTGCTCTGGGGATCCAGTCTCCACTTTCCAAATCTGGAATTATAGGCAGGATGCCACAGCTACCTGACATTTACATGGGTTTGGGGGGAGCTGAACTTTGGTCCCTATACTTGGGTGGCAAGCACCTAACCACCGAGCTGTCTCCCCTCCCTCACTACTTGCTGCATTTGTGTTAAACATCTCAGATGGGCACTGAACTGCAGTGACAGAGGCAAATACCCTTGTACTTAAGAGGCACAAGTATTAGGAATCAGAAGAAAAATATACTGATGACTGCCAGTTCAAAAAGTTCAGGGAAAAAGAAAAAAGCGTATCTACTATAGTTATTCAAAGACAGCGAACAAAATGGCCCGATGCAACTGGAGGATCTGAAAAAGAAGGTTGATGCAGGGGGCCATGTTAATACTCTTTCCGTGGTTTGGCATGTTACTAAATGAAGCTGGAAAACATATGGTTCTCTGCTTCCCCACAGTCCACAGCTGCCTTACCACAGATTTCCTGTAAGCTAGCACTGAGTTAGTTTTCTGGCCTCTTTCCACAGCTCCCCATCCCAGCTGTTCTGCTTGTAGACACCCCAAATGCTGTATGGACTGTGTGGTACAACCCTTTATTAGCATTCCAGGCCCACTGGCACCCAGTGGTCTTTCATTTGTGAACCCCACCACTGACCTACAGTGCTCTTGACTTTCCAAGGGTGAGACTCCTGTAGGACAGACCTCATTTGAGTTACCTCTCTACTAGAAAAGTCCTTTGCTTCTTCAGCACTGAATTACCCATCCTATGAAGATTCAAATCAGGTCCCAAATATCTGATCAGGGAATGTGAAGATGGGAAACCACGTGATTCACGAGTGGCCTCATGGAGGATGAAAGTGAGTGAACTAGCCACAAAGGCAGCACAGTAGGCTAGGACCCGCCAGGGAGGGCGCCCTCTCCTCTGTGACCTGCACCTGTCCATTTAGGAAGCCTGTTCCCAGTCTTTCAGAGATTCAGGAATCCTCTGAAACAATTGGCTCACAGTACTCTGGCACATAATCACCTGTCTGACTCATGGCCTTCACCCATGTGGGGTGTCCTGGGGCTGGAACTATGATAATCTTCACTATCAGAACACAACCCCATATACATAACAGAAATTCAAAGAATCTTATCAAAACTTTAGTTGGTAGTAAGTCAATGGCAAATTACATCTAGGAACCCTTCACTTGGAAAATGAAACCAAAATGTTACTTATACTGATTTTTGAAAAAAAATTTTTTTGTCTTTTTTGAGACAGGGTCTCCATGTAGCCCCAGCTGTCCTGGAACTCACTATGTAGACCAGGCTAGCCTTGAACTCATAGAGATCCACCTGCCTCTGCCTCCCGAGTGCTGGGATTAAAGGCGTGTGCCACCATACCCAGAGATCAAATGATTTAAAAAATTTTATTTATTGCTTTTATTTAATTTTGATCAAGATACTATCTCAGGGCTAAGAATAAAGCTCAGTGATAGTGCACTTGCTTAGCACTCATGTGGCCCAGGCTTCTAGCACTGCACACACACAGACACACAGACATCACACATGAGACATGTACATTACACATATACACATGTACAGACACATGCAGACATACATTACACATATCACACATACACACACATACACATATGCAGATATACACACATACTCACACACATATGCATATACACAAACATCAGCAGCACAGAGAAACTTACCTTTTCTGAAGAGGCCCCAAAGAGCCTTCGGGCTAGCAGCTTGCCTGCTTGTATGGCAACGGGCGTGAGCTCAGGTTTGCCCTCCAGTACATCCCCGATAGCATAGACATGAGGCACATTGGTCTGCTCCACATCATTGACTGGTATTTTGCCATTCCTGATAGAGTTTGAAGAGCACATATGTACACTATGATAACTGCACTGCTACAGGCCTACTGCAGACCATACATGAAGGACCTCCCAGAGCTCAGGTTCTGAGGGTCCTAGAGATCTAGAATTTAAGGCTTATCCAGGGTTTCCATGGTTCCAGCCACACATCCTGACATGTGTTACTTTCATGCTCCCCATGGTCCCTCTCAGGGCTTTGGAATTTTCTCCTTATCTGATCAAAGACAGCAAAACTCACTCTAAATCACAGACAGTGGGCAAATATAGTTCTAAGAATATGTCTCTGAAATGTTACTGAATGCATGAGCCCTTCAAAGCTTACAGCTGGCACAGTACTTATTCTAAGAAATTTGAGGCATCAGCATTTTATGTGTTGGGCATTAACTGAGTTTTTAAGAGGCAACATGCAGCAATGTTCTGCTTTGTGCAGCAGTGCCCAATCTCACACTTACTTTTCATTGATTTTGACCCCAATTTTCTCCAGGCCCATTTTCCTTGTACAGGAGTCACGACCAACTGCTAACAAAACCTGCATTTAGAGAAGAAATAAAAAACACAATATATCCCTATCAGAAAGAGAAGCGAGCACCACTATAGCTCAAGACATGAAAAGAAGAACAATGAAATAGCATAAGCAACCTGCACCAGTAAACTTGACACTGTTGGTGAAAGAGTCCTCAAAGATTACACTCAAAGAATACAACTTACTTACTGTCTTAGTTTCTTTTCCGTGGCTGTGGTAAAATAACCTGGAAAAAGCAACTTAAGGGAGAAAGGGTTTGTTTATTCTGGCTCATAGTTCATAGTGAGGAAGTCAAGGCAGCAAATGCTTGAAGCAGCTGGTCACATGGCATCCATAGTCAGGAGCAGAGAGGGATGAAGGCATGATGCTCACCTCCCTTTCTCCACTTATGCAGTCCAGGATCCTGGCCAGGGAATGGAGCTACCCATAGTGGGCAGGTCTTCCCACCTCAGTTAGTGAAATCAAGACACACACACACACACACACACACACCTCAGTTAGTGCAATCAAGACACACACGCGCGTGTGCGCGCAAACTCAAAGGCCAATCTCCCAGGTGATTCCAGACTCTGTCAGGCTGATATTTAACACTAACCCAAACACCAATTTTACACAAAGTCTGCATGAGCCTATTCTGTGAGCTGAACTGTGTGCCTTTTAAACCTACATTTCAGCACTAGCCCAGAGAACCTCAGACTATAAGAGGATTGGGAGACAGAGAGGGATTTGGGAGTAATGAGGGTAAAATGAGGTCATATAGGTGTGTCCTTACTATGGTTTAGATAAGTGTCCCCCATTGGCCCTTGTTAAAAGCCTTGGTCCATAGCCTGCAGGGCCAGTGGGAGGTGTACTCTTTGGGCAGGAAGTGAGGTCATTGGGGGTGTGCCCCAAAGAGGACTGTGGGACCTCAGTCCTTTCTCGTCTTCTTTGGCCATGTGTTCCAGCCATGCTGTGCTGCTTTGCCACACGTCCAAACCAGGACATGTGACCATGAACCTAAACCTCTGAAACCCTGAGCCAAAATAATTTTTCTGCTTAAGTTCATTTGAGTTCACTGCCCCAGGTATTTTGTTACAATATGGAAAGCTAATACAGCTAGTCCACTATAAGTCCATATAAGGAAAGGAGATAGGGTAGTCAGGAGGGGACTCGGCAGGAAGGCAGATGTGTATAATCTAAGGAGAGAGGTCACAGGGAAACCAACCTGGTGACTATAGACTGTGAACATCCAGACTCCAGAACTGCAAAAAATCAACTCCTGCTGTTTAAACCAATTTAGGGCCATTTTTTCCAAGGCTGTGACAAAACACCTGAAAAAAACAACCTATAAGGAAGAAGGGTCTAGTTTTGGCTAACAGTTTCAGAGGTTTTAGCCCATGGTTGCATGGCTTCTTTGTTCTTGGGCTAGTGGCAACACAAAACATCAAGGTGGGAGCCCCTGATGGAGGAGGCCTGTTTGCCTCATGTAGCTGAGAAGCAAAAAGAGACAGGAGGGTCCAGAGACCCCATAATCCTTTCTATGTCACAGTCTTTTCTTTAAAAGGATACTTTTTTTAATGTGTCTACATGTATGAATGTGTACCACCTGCATCCTTGATACCTATGGAGGTCAGAAGAGGTGTCAGACCCCTGGAACTGGAGTTATAGGCAGTTATAAGATGACATATGGGTGCTAAGAACCAAACCCGACAAGTGCTCTTAACCACTCAGCCATCCTTCCAGGCCCTCAAGGTCACACACTTCATATAAATTTCTGTTATTTAGCTATTTGTTTGTTTGAGACGGGGTCTCACTATGTAGCTCTGGCTGACCTGGAACTCACTATGTGGACCAGGATGGCCTCAAACTCACAGAGATCCACCTGCTTTTGCCTCCCAAGTGCTGGAATTAAAGGAAAGTGCAACCATGCCCAGCCTTAAAATAAATGTTTAAAGCAGCTTTTTGATAGCCAACTAAAAGTCTGCCAGGGTTGAATTTTGTAGATCTGTTTGGGAGAAATGACTTTTTGTTGTTGCTGTTGTGACTGTGTTGGGAGGCCCCACCTCCCTATAGTGCCACATTCTGGGCCAAGCTGTTAACTCAAGAGCCTTTGGGGACATTTAAGATCTAATCCACAGCAATACCCTAACCACTTAATACATTCTACCTGATCCATCAGAGATGCCAGGTTCGCAGTTAACGAAGTTCTCCTAGTCACCTCCAGATCCAAATGGCGTCCCTGTTTCCCTCTGTGGAACATGTCAATAAAGAGTAACACTAACGACTCATAAGCTCTTTCAAAAAAATCAGAGAAAAAGGAGCACCTCCCTGCTCCTCGTGAGGCAAGTGTAACCTCTGAAGCAAAATCAGACAGGGGTATTTAAAAAGGAGGAGACCAGGAGCTGCCCCTCCTCATCAGCAGAGTGAAGTCCTTAGTGAACATCAGCAAGTTGAATATAGCAGGGCACAAAAGGATAGCAAAATTTAATACAAAACTCTGTCAATATAATTCATTTGTTAACAGAATGAAGGCGTAAACAATAATTTCAACAGATGCAGGAAAAGCATTTGACAAAATTCAACAGTTTCATAAGCAAAACAAAATCCTTAGCACACAAAAAATTTAAAAAACAATTTTCTACTGTATAAAAGGCACACATGAAAAACTTACAGGCCACTTACTAGAAATCATGATGGACAGATGCATCACCCGAGATCAGTAATCAGAGATGGTTGTCCACCTCACAGTCTCCAATTCACACTGTTCTGGGGTCATCCACCTCAGTCTTCAGTTCATACCATCCTAGGGTAGCCCACTCACATCTCCAGTTCACATTGTCCTGGGGTCACCCACCTCACAGTCTCCAGTTTTCACCAACCTGGGGTCGACCACCTCACAGTCTCCAGTACACACCATCCTTGGATCATTTACCTTGGTCTCCAAATCACACCATTCAGGGATCACCCACCTCACAGTCTCAAGTTCTTTTCAGATCACATCATCCTGGGGTCACCTACCTCACAGTCTCCAGTTCATACTGTCCTGGAGTCTTAACCAGTAAAACAGAACAAGAAAAATACAGAAAAGTATGCCAGCTGGAATCAAGGCTGTTCTTATCTACAGACATGAATCCTAAGTCAATACCCATCCCAGTTCTACTTCCACACACTACCCATAAACCCCTGAAAAGTGAAATTTTAAAAATACAATTAACACTAACCTAAAATCATAAAATACAGATAGAAACTTAGCAAAATGTGTGAACAACCTCTAGTGCCCAATGACAGAACCATGGAGAGAATTAGGATCTCATAAATAAATGGAAAGATGCTAAAACCCCAGAAATCAGCTCTGTGACAACTGCATTCCTCCAGGGCAGGGCTGAGCTAAGGGGAGAGCCTGGCTTCCACCCTCAGAACAAGTTATTTCTCCCAAACAGATCTACAAATGCAATCCTAGCAGACTTTCAGTTAGCTGTCAAAATGTATTTTAATGGTTTACATAGAAATATAAAGAGCCTAATTCTGCCCACTGTGCCTTGATTCCCCTGCAGCCTAAGCAGCTCCACTCTCTCCCGCACTCTGTCCCCCTTCTGGCCTTGGACCCAGGCCTGCTCCTGCTCTTCCACCTCAGATCTCTGGACCAGCTTCCTAACCCAGACTAGCTTAATCCTCCAGCGCTGCCTACTACCCTGATGGAGGTTATTACAGAGTTCCACAACTCGTCACACAGAGAATATATGTCTGAGAGATGCCCAGCCCTAAGTGACACAGTGGAACCTCTACACTTATGGCTCATGGAACAGAGCGGAACAGGGGTAGAGAGGATACTAATACAACCCTCAACTCTCACCAGTGAAGCTTCCTCATACAACAGATTGCGATCCACACAGAAGGCCACAACTGGCTAAGTTTTAGAAAATAAGAGGCTTCAGAGTGTGTGTCCCTGGGTAAGACTCTTACATTAAAACTCATTCACCCACAGCGCAGGGACCATTGAAGAAGAGAGGGTGGAAAGATTCTAAGAGCCAGGGTTGGTGCATGAACATAAGGAAACAGAGGCTTTCAGGCCATTGGGAATTTGCTCATATGAACTTGCAACAATGGTGGCAGCATAAAGGAGGCCCACGCTGACTCAATCAGACAAAAACCCAGCATAAAATGAGGGAAATGGGCAGCAGGCCCCAACCTTAGCTGAAGAACTATTAGCAATGAATTAGTGATGGTTGAGAGAGAATAGATCTTTTTTTGGTCTTTTTGAGACAGGGTCTCCCTGTAGCCCCAGCTGACCTGGAACTCACTATGTAGAAGGGAATGACTCTAGATAGGCTGACTACTAGACTCCAGTGGACAAACTTGCACCGAGGAATATCTGGGTACAAATGCTTGATGGGATAGGACTTAACATATATGACAGAATTCATGAAATCCAAGGGGGGTGGGAGGCTATGAAGGGTATAAATGGGGAGGGGGAGGGGGTATAAATTTAATTAATATCTATTATATGAAATGCTTCTATTATATGAAATGCACAATCAATGAAAGGGTTTAAATTTGATTAATATCTGTTATATGAAATGCAAAAAAACGCAATGAAAATATTTTCTAAAAAGAGCCTAAGCAAAGCTGAAGACTTTCCTGACTGGATTTAAGGCTTACCATCTTAATCACTGGTACTCAGAAAGGACAAGGGATCTGCAGTAAAGAGTAAAGAGCACAGAGAAGCACCCCCTGCCCATCCCCAGTCAAATGGCCCAGCAAGGGAGCTCAGTGAGAAAGACAAGTCTTCTCCACAACTGCAGTGGACACAAGAAGAATAACCTCACTCCCATATACCATGCATGGAAATGAAATCAAGGTGAACTACAGACAACATCATAAAAATAAAGCCTCAGAGCGAGAGCAAAAAAAAACCCTGAGACTTGAACTTCATAAAAATCTTAAAGCTACCATTCATCAGACGATGCTATTAAAAAACAGACAAGCCACAGGTGGAAAGGAAATATTCTCAACACGTATGTCTGAAAACATATTAAAGGAATATATTCAAGATTTATAAAGGACTCCTGCAATTTAAGAATAAGAATCTGGGACTGGAGAGATAGCTTAGCGGACAAGAGCACTGGCTGCTCTTGCAGAGGACCTGAGTTCAGTTTCCACCACCCACATGGCAGCCCACAATCACCTATAACTCCAGTTCCAGGGGATCTGATACACTCTTCTGGTCTTGGCAGGCTCCTGCACACACATGGTACAAACTCTCACACACACACACACACACACACACACACACACACACACACACACACACATACAGGTAAAAATAATAATTATCTTTCAAAAAGAATCGAGAACCCACACAATTCAATGACAATGGAATAAAAGCCTTGAACAAACACTTCCTAAGGGAAGATAATGAATAGACAGTAAGTACATGAAACTTGTCCCACATCATTAATCCAAAGATGCAAACTAAACTCATGGGAGATACCCCTTACACCCTCAAAAACACCCCATACATGCTCCCAGACACCCCATCAAACCCTCCAAGACACGACACATACCCTCCCAGATACTCCACACATCTTCCTAGACGCCCCACACATCCTTCCAGACACCCTAAACATCCTCATGGACACCCCACATATCTTCTAAAATGGCTGAAAAAGAAAGCCAGACAACCCCAAGGGTTGGGAGATGTAGGGCACCCAAGCCCCCATGCGTAGCTTGTGGAAGTATAAAATGATTCCAGCACTTGGAAGCAGCCTGGAAGTTTCTCAAAAAGATAAATGTAGAAACTATGCTATCAAGAAATCAATGCCAAGTATTTATACAAGAGAAATAACATATGTCCACTTTACATAAGAAATCTTTCCAGCAGCCTTAATCACAACAGCCTAAACCAAGAAGAGACTAGGTGTCCACACAGGAAAATGGGTAAGGGACCCACGCTATATCCCTCTGGTCCTTTAGCTCCCAATTACAGTCCAGGTGACACAGAAAATCCTGGTAACACCAACCAGAATACAGGACACCAGACACTGAGGAGCGCACCACATATGATCTGACCAGGTGGGGTCTGAGACAGACGAAACTTGTGTGTGGTGACAGAATCAGGCAATGGTGGCTGGCGACTAGACTCACAGACAAGGTTCCTCTACTTTAAAGGAGTGTGTGTAAACGTGTCTGTCAGAAATAGTTAACTGCACAGCTGAGGTCTGTACACTTTACTGTGTAAGTTAGACCTTGTCACAGAAGCAACGTGCAGAGTTAGATATGAGGTACTCTATACCAATGTATTTGAAACTTAGTTGAAATGGACTAATTCCTAAAGAGAAAAAAAATAAATCAAAAGTATCTAAAAAGAGGAGTGCCTCAAAGCCCTTTGATCATCAGAGAAGCTGAATCTGTTGCACACATTCCCTTGGAGAATGCAGCCTTGGAGTTTCCACCAGTGAATCCTACTAAACAAAAAAAAACATTCTAATAGTACATAACTGTGGTCAGAAAACAGGAAAGAGGAAAACACACTCCCAATGCCTTGCATGAACTAAAATAACCTTGACAGTTAAACCTGAAATGCTCAAGATGTAGAAGACAATTAAAAGTCACCAGGCAGGCTGGCGTACATCGTAATCCCAGCACTTGAGAGGCTGAGACAGGAGGATCTCTGTGAGTTTCAAGCAAGCCTGAGCTACACAGTAAATTCCAAGTCAGCCTGGTCTACAGAGTGAGACTCTTTCTCAAACAATCAAACATGCATAAACACTGTTATGCATAGTTATATCAGTAGTATGTATTTTCATTGACATTACCATTATTAATTCACACTGAGCAAGTTCAAGGCCAGCCAAATCCTCACAGTGAGACTCTTTCTCAAAAAAACAAACATGCATAAACACCCCACACACACACACACACACACACACACACACACACACAAATATGACTCATGAATACAGATGCTTAAATTCTAAATAATTGAACTGGGTTTATGCCAAGAATATAAAGTTGACTGATCATTAGAAAGTCATTCAATGTATTGATAGATTTAAAGAAAACAAAAAGATCACCAACTTTTACTGCTGTAAAAGAAACACTGTTACAACTGAGCATACATGCTTAATTTTAAAATAAAGGAAAAGAAGGAAAAAAATCACTTAGCTAACAAAAAAACAGAATTTCCTTGATGACCCACCAAAGCCATTCAGAAAGCAGTCCTCTTTGGTAATGAACCATGGGCACTTTCCTTTGCTATGGAGAAGATGAACCACATGCTGCGGCAGCGGCTTATCAACACTACACTTGGGCCAGAGGGGGGGGAAATCACAGTAGAAAGGAGGAAACAAAACTGCTATATCAGCTAATAATATGAATATGATGCAGGAAGTCCAAAATAACCTAAGGGTAAACTAAGTAAGATATGAACAAAATAAATGAATATTAAAAACCCACAAAGATCGGCAATTCTATTCACCAGCTGAAAGTAAAAGTTAAGATTTTCCAGAAAGAAACCATTTTAACGACATGTAAACATATAAGCACCCAGGAATAAATCCATGAGGTGGTTGTGATCTCAGTAGAGACCTGAGCGAACCTGATGGGAACCACGAAGACCTTAACTCATGCCTGACGAGTTCTGTCTGTGAAAACACCAGGTACTATGGACACTCTCCACCCCCGGTCTGCACGTTCAATGCAGCCCAGTCAAAACCTCAGCACCAATGAGACTGGCTACTTGGTTTTGTCAGGTATTTTCTGGTTTAGTTGACCCTTTCCACAGTCATATTTACTTTATAACTCAATATGTGTGTGTATAAAGAATACATAAAGTGTATGTTTTTTATTAAAACTATGATAAAAAGAATTCCTGGCATCTAAACTACTCCACAGGCTGTTAATACTGCTTCAAGATTTGATATTGTTTTTGAAAAAGAAAATCTGATTTATTGATGTTTTTAATTTATAACATTGCATTCCATGTTCACAGACAAACTTTCCAAGTGAATACATGTATGGAATATTTAATTCTCCAGGACTGAGGCCCAATGACACTGGGATGTCTGTGCTTCCAGAGTTTTCCCACACACTGTTACACACACATATACTTCACATTAGTGTTCTTCATGCGTCACTGAACACCCATGTGCTGGTGGCCCACTGTCCTCCAGTTGTTAACACTCTTACCAAAAATCCAAAGCACTAATCCTGGTGTAATCTTTCCAAAGTTTCACCTCTCCCACTTTGTGAATGCGCTCAGAAACATTCACTTACTGTGTTGTATATCCCTTCAACTGTTTCTGGTCCTTCAGTGGACCTGGCCATCACTTTCAGTATTCCAGGTGAACCTTTCTCCAACTGCTGGACCTAGGAAGGACAAAAAATGTACCAACTCTATCCAACATGGAAGAAAACAAACTGCTGCAAGGACACACGTGTGCAAGCATGCTCGTGGTATGATGGTTTCCTGTGTATCTGAAAGGACATGAGCTCTCTGGACTAGACAGAGGTGGACAACTTCCACATTCTACATTTTGCAGATAAAACTAGATCAAGCATTCACTGAGATTGAAGTTGGTCTAAGAGGGGAACTGAAGGGAGGCTTCCCTGGTATTGGCTTCTTACATTGTGTAGATGGAGGTCAGAAAGATTATCAGGGGTCTAAGTAGAAAAAATAGATCTTAAATTTTATCTTGTTAAATTTGAAGTGCTTATGGGGACTCAATCAGAGGTGAGTATGGAGTTCCAGAGAACTACCGGAAGAGGAGCAGTTAATCTGACAGCCATTACCACTTAGATAATACTTCAAATATGGGCTTATAGAGATCATCCAGTAAAAATGCTGACCAAGATAAAAACAAGTGGGCACCAATGTCTGCAGGCTGAAAAGATGGGGAGGGAAAAGCAACAGGCTGGGGAGCCACACAGTCTAGATGGACAGCACTCCACAAGGGGGCACCAGTTCTACCACGTGCTGCGGAAAGGCTCAGAGATACAGATGTTGCCTGCTGGACTTCCTGACAAGCAGCTTCCAGGAAGCAGAAAAGATGAAAAGAAGCACTGAAGGGAGACTAGTATGAGACGGAGTCAAGGCATTAGAAGTAGGGTGCAGAGACATTTTGTAAAAGCATAAAGAACAACGGGGAGCCAGTCAGAGAGACATGGGGGGTTGTCTGTGTTAGGGTGACATGCTGATGAGACTAAGGGAGAGAAGACCGCCAACTGAGATGGGGTGTCCTTAAAAGGTGAGTGAGGGGGGATTGGGCCCTCGAGAACAGGTTACTTTCTCTACCATCCAGAGGGAAAACAAATGAGGCCGCTTTTGTAGACCTTGGGGTGGGCAATTACCTTCAACTTGGTGAATGTGTACTGATTTGATGAAATGAAGTAAGGACGGGCAAAGCAAAAGGACTTCCAAGTATCAGTGGGCTTACCGTCACAGGGATGAATTTTCTTAGGAACTTAACACCGTGTTGCTCCATGTAGGAACCCACTTTCTCTGCCATTTCTTGATCAAAGTCTCGAAGAAGGATTGAGCGCACCATAACGGTGACATCTAAGCCCAAGCCAGCCAGAAACCCAGCACATTCCAGAGCAACGTACGAGGCGCCCACTACCAAGGTGCGGCCTGGGCAGTAGGGCAGAGAGAAGAGGTCATCGCTGAAAGAGAGAAGGAAAGAGAGTCCAGGCAGTACTTATAAAATGGGCCACCTGGGTTTCTATGTGTGACGACAGATCTTCTGTTGGCTGAATAGCATTTCAGTGCTTGAATGAGGAAACACTAAAGAACGAAATAGCCTCTGGAAGCTTCTCGGCAAGCTTGTTTACTACAGACAGGATGTATGAAAGGCACCCATAGTTCTTTCAGAATCAAATTAGACCACAAGCAAATAACTTAAATAAAATAGAGGGGCTGGAGAGACGGCTCAGTGGTTAAGAAGAGCACCAGTTGCTCCTGCAGAGGACCCAGGTTCAGTTCCCAGCACCCACATGGCAGCTAACAACCATCTGTAACTCCAGTTGTAGGGGATCTGATGCCGTCTTCTGGCATCTTCCGGCATTGCATGTATATTACGTACTTGCAAGCAAAACACTTATTATACAAATAAAATAAAAATAAACGTTTGAAAAAGCTAGAAAAGAAGAAAACCGGGTTTTTGGTTTTGTTTTTGCTTTTTTGTAGGGACATGTGTGTTGTGTGCAGCATATGTATGGTATTGTGATGTGTGTGTTATGTGCATTGTGTGTGGATGTTTGTATTTACCAAACAACAGTGCGATGAAAAATGCATTTCTTAATACAAGAGTCTGAAGTCCCCATGGAGCATCACACAGCATCTTAATTGATTGCCCCGGGACACCCAGCGGAATCTCAGTTTAGAAAGCGCCATTATTCCTGGCTTCCAGACTCATCTCTACCCTTCAGACACTCAGTTTCACAGTTAGTCATGTTTATTTCTTTGCTTTGGTCTCCGGGAAATTTAGAATCAAATTCTGATCCACTTCCCACTTCTGGCAGCTACTTAGAAATGCAGCAGGGTTTAGAGTAAGCTCCACCCCTGACCTTATCCAATGCCTGGTCTTATCTCTCCCTGCCCCATCATTTTAATTGCTTGGCTTCTTGTGCTGTGTAGAGTTCTGTCATAAATTAAAATCCTTCATGAACTAAAACAGGGAGCAAGTAAATTGAAAACATAAACATCACACAACATATTAATGTTGAGATGGTCTATCTAATCTTACCTGGTAATACAGTATTCTTTATCTCCTGGAATTCCTAAGTACCGTGGCCTTTCCCCTGTTGCTATGACAAACTTCGCAGCAGTATAAAATGTTTCCTGTCCCTTCTTACTGGTAGCCTTGAAAAGAAGGAATGTAATTTCACTTAGTCCACAAACATCCAGATCTTGTCACCACCTCATGGCCTCTTATTCAACAGAAATGACAGGTACACAAAAGCCAGCATTGTTATGTGATATGTACCACAGATAGTGGGGAAGCCCATAGCCCCTCGTGGCACACCACAGGCAGCACAAGCAGAACAGTGCAGCAGCCACACAGCCCCTCTGTGGGGTGGGGTGACAGGGTAGAAATCTAGTATAGGATGGCTCACAGGAGGTGTGGAGAAGAGCATAGTACCAAGGTCGGAGAAGAAAGGGGTCCTGGAAGAAGACAGCACACAAGAAGACACAGCAGCCTACAAGGAGCCGGGTGTGAGCAACAGCCACCTGGAGCCAGAAGTAACCACAAAGAGCAGACCAGTATGGGAAGGAGAGGAAAGGCAACCTGGAGCCAAATGTGGAGGCCCTCACATGCCATGCCACATATTAAGCTAAGGAGAACCAGTGAGGGTTACCTGTTATTTGTAAGTACATGAATAATTCAAAATAAATTTTCAGGCAAAAATTTCAAATGTCAATGATGGTGTTTAAACAAGTAGACTGGCATAGTTGGTAGGGTACAGCCTGAGACAGGGGCCTATCACCCAGGGGTGGAGGCTGGAGCCTGAGACAGAAGCCCATCACACAGAGATGGAGGGCGAAGCCTGAGACAGGGGCTTATTACCCCAGGAGCAAAAGGTAAGGGCTAATTGCCAAGGATACTGGCTGACTCTCTTTCCTAACTCTACTGTAAATCCGAGGTAACATGGATGTCATTTCCTTGCACAGTAATGTGGCAGCATATAAACATTATACCAGTAAGTATGCAAATCAGCCTCAGTGAACAGGATAGGCTGGAGCTTTAGTTCCATTTTCACTCTAAAAAATTCTACAGCTAAAATTTTTTCAGTCTTTTGAACTTCAAACTGTTTAAATATTTTCTCTTTTAAGATGACAATGAAAGGCAAAAGACAATTTTAAATTAAGAGATCTTTAAAACATACACTCTGCACTTTATCCAGACGTGTAATCAGCACCAACAGTAATCAGCACACACATGGCCATGAGTGCCATGTGTGTGACATGCCAGCTGCAGTCCCTAATGTGTAAAGTGGAATTCTAATTTAGTTCAAGGCCAAATTCAAACGACAGTAAGGAAAGGAAAGGCACACCAAGAGGGTACCTTTATTTTATGCGGCTCCACAAATTCCCCATAGGAGTTGACATAGGCCACGCCTTCCTCCCGCAGGGTCAGCCTGTAGCCCCAGTTCAGGGAGCTGATATGGTTCTGGATCGCTTCCGTCATGGCTTCCCAGTTGTGCTTCACTAAAAAAAAAAAAAAAACAGGATGGAGGTTATGGTGAAGTTTCTGGGTTATATCATTGTTGAGGCTGTTTTTGAGACAAAGTGTCTGTCTGCAACACAAGCTGGGCTCAAATGCACCATCCTCCTGCCTGGTGGATATGTGTGCACTAGCACTCTGTCTTACTTCCAAAGGCAGAGCACATAGAACCACTCACTATGTAGTGCAGTAAAGATCAACAAGTAAACAGACACAGCTAAAACCTTCCTGTGCCAGCTATCTTTCTGCCTCTTCTGTGTCATACTGCAAAGCATGTCCAGGAAGCAGAGTTCTGAAAAGAAGAAAAAGGCTGCAGCGGAGCACACTTCACATGGCAATGCCTGAAACACAAGTTCAGTCAGGGTACATGTCCCAGGATAGTCTGCTACCACTTGGCCTGCTTCCCTTGCCCCCTCACCTGTGTCACTGGGCCTGCTCTCTGTGTCCCCTCTCCTGTGTCACTGGGCCTCTTTCTCCTGTGCCATCTCCTCTGGCACTGGGCCTGTATTAAGTTATGTTTCCTTCTTTTTCTGCTTCTGCTCTTCTTTTTCTTATAAACAAAGAGGTTGGGAGATGGGGTTGCTTGGCTCCCTCCTTGGCAGCTGTTAAGACTCTCCCTTGCAGCCTTGGCTGCTTTGAGCAAAAGGACTATCAGTCAAACAGCCAGTGGAGGTACCGGTATGCTGCTACCAGTCATTCTGAACAATCTATAGACTCCTTGAAGAAACTATGCAACGGTCACAGTTGCTTGCTTTGGCTCTTGAAGGAATAGCCCCAGTCAGGACTGTTTCAGATAGTTTGCATTGGACTTTCGCTATCACAAGCCCCAGTGAACTCCAGATGACCCTGTGACTACTTTCACCGAGGTGGGGGGGCGCGTTTAATAGCTTCCCTTGGTGGTCTAGCAGGTAGACTGCTGTGATGTGACCAAAGCAAAAATGATGCAAATACAAACCTTCCTTTGCATGAAAGGTTTGTGATGACTGATGCCAATACTGGACATATAAACAGACTGCTCCCCTCACTTGGGGAGTCAAAGCTGAGACACCCTCCCCTGCTGCCTCTCGTGGGGTTGCAACATTAGGCCAAATGAAAAGCTCCTCTTGGGTGTCTTTCCTTGCTTGATTTTTTAGTAGAGCAGGCTGAGCTGAAAACACTAAGCAGCAGAGACAGGAGAGTGGCAGCGGCAGGGACAGTGGAGCAGCCAGCAGCTGCTCAGCTGCAGCAGAGATGGAGAGTAGCCCCAAAGGCCAAGCCAGAGAAGGGAGGGAGTCATGTTCCTACTGAGGCCTTGACAAGGGGCAGAGGCAGGGCCTCAGGAATCCCCAGCAGATGAGCAGAGGTCCAGCAGTGTGGCCGAAGTCAGGGCCATGATAACTCTTTAGAGCTCTTGACAAGGGGTAGAGGTAGCAACGACAGTCAAAGAGTCAGAGCTGTGACCTGCAGGTGGAAGCGTCAGTAGCCTCCTGAGGAACTGTGGCAGCCATGACAGCAGCCACAGCAAGCTGCAACTCCCATACTGCCAAGGGCCTAGGAATCCCACCTCCTAAGCCTAGCAAGAGCTCTAGCATTACATAGACAAGGGTCCCTGCTCCAGAGACCTGCTCAAGAACTCTAACACTAGAAGGACCTGCTGCTCCTTCCTTTCTGCCGCCACAGCAAGCTGATGGGATACGATTGCAGCTTAACACCAACACCAAAGGAACTTCTCCTTATCTACTCATGAATTCTATCCAGGTGGAGCCAGAGGAGCCCAAGTAACCTGGTGGTAACAAGGTCAGACACAGTCCACTCCCCTCACCAGGCTGGCAAGTTCACTTCCATTTGGTTCACTGGACCATGTTTTCATGTTGAAGATGGAATCTGGAGTCTCATGCATGCTAGGCAGATGCTCTAACATGAAGCAACACTGCTGGCCCTTACATTTCTTTACAATATATGAGGCTTGAGCTTAAGGTTGTCTGCCTTTCTTCTTGCAATATTTACCTGTTTCTTCTGACAAGGGTTGGACTGGATTGCTAGGCCTCTGCTCTACCCCTACATCTTCTAAATGTGACTAATCTCACAATGCCCATCTTGTCTATAGGTACTAGATCTGGAAACTCACCAGTCTGTCATGTTTATTAGACATAGGGGCCAGTTGGGGGATTCTGGTCATAATACTGGTCATAACTGAATAAGAGTCCAGAAGACAACTGGCAAGGAGTAGGGGGACAGACACACCTAGAGACTCATCCCATCTACCACTCTAGGGAATGTCCCCAACTCACTCCAGGATGTGAGATGCTACCATGCAGGAAAGAGAGCTAAAAAAGATGTTCAGAGCCAGTCCATCACAGCCGCCCCATGGCACCAGGTGAGGGGACCCCTAGGATTGTGCAGCCTGCAAAAGTCGCTTTTGTTATTACATAACCTCATGGTCCAGTATCTCTCCACAGTGCCACATTTCCACAAACCCCACCCTTGGAAGACCTTCCATTCCAACCCTCTAGGAAACTTTAACCACAGGCCATGTGACCCTTGCCACAACAGACTGTCTACATGGCAGGGTCCCAATGGCTGCACATCAGGATCTCCTGATAGCTCCACTGTGTGGCTATTATTGCTTCATGTTGTGCAGATGGGAAAGTCACATCCAACCAGGGATGGTCTAGTTACTTTCACACTTTTATTTTTCAGTATAAACTTTAAAATGATCACTTCAGCTTCAAAAGGGGGAAAACATGTCATAGATTTCCTTGAACTTGCCTAACCATTACATCTTCATAATATTGTGACAACTCCTCGAATGCCTGCTTCTGGTGTGCACTCAAGTTCTCTCCTTACACACCGCTAGCTCTGCTCTCAGGACTACGTCATTTTTGTCGGGTTTTTGTTATATTTTTAGCTTGTTATGGCTGACGAGTAAGAAATGTGACTGTCACACTAATTAATTCTAATATTTCTAAGCTGAATCTTTTACATTCTAGATCTGTTGTATCATAAAGTTAGACATTTTTATTAACTCTTTTCAAGCACATGCTCCTTTCTTTCCTGTCTGTGATTTGTGTGCACTGGTCAGAGGCACTGCAGAGGTGATGCAGTGGGCAACTCTGATGTAGGATTTAACAAAAAGACTCAAGTTCTTCACAAAACCCTGACTTTTGACTTTTCACCATCAGGTAGAGAAGTCTCATTTCTTTGCCTTACAGTCAAGTATCCTTTAAAAGCATGGTGGTATGGAGAGTTTCATTAAATGCCTTCATGTCACAGTGGGTGCTGACTCTGGAGGTAGCCTGTGTTGAACTGGTATGGGGTCCCTTTCACACCCCGGTGTGCATTCCTTTAGGACAGGACTTCAGGGACTTGCTAATGCCTATTTCTCCAGGGCACCTATATGGGCTGTAGCTTTCTGTTTTTAGGTTGTCTTCTTGTATTATATTTGTGTTTACTTCAGTCTAAAAAAAAATGAACCATTCACTTTTTCTGTTGTTCTTTGCCAACTTATCTTGAGTCTTCCAATATCCCAGCATCCTCTGTTCTCTATTCTTGGCAGTCTATGTATATCCTCAGTTCCTACAACTTTATCACCACACGATGACTCTGTATCCCAAGCTTTTGCCTCATCTACTCTGACCCAATGCTCTCCAGCACGTCAACTGTTACCACCATGGGTCTAGCCTCAACTGAACACCACACACAGCCCCTAACCAAGCCTGCTGGTGCTTTCTATCCCAGCAAGCTACAGCCCACACCCACCCAGTGCTCTGCCTGGTGTCTGCCTCTCTCTGTTCCCCTGCCTTACTGGATCTGCAGAGTCTGCTGCTATCAGAATCACCTGTGGCACTCTAGCCAGGTACTACTCACATCCACATCAGGATCTCTGGGGAAAGACAACTCATTCATTATTTCCTAAAACCTCCTCAAGCTCATCTGGCACAGAGCCTCCATGGAGACCCACCACCATCTCCGTGTCTAGTTGGCCACCCTGTCTAGTCAAGTCTGTATCTTCAACTTCCCTAAATCTACCTCCCACAGTCTACCCAACATCTTTGCTGAGGCCTGCAGCACTTGCCCCATCTCTTTCTTCTCCTCTCCTCTTGGAGTTCTTTGGAGCCATGGGAGCCAACTGGACTTCAGGCTATCGTCCGCACTTCTTTCTGGCTTAAGTTCTTCAATCACTCCATTGCCTTTAACGTAAAATTAACTCCTGAAAACCTCAGTTAAAGATCTTGAGGAAATACTTAGCTCTTGAAACTCATTCCTTCCACCCAGTGTCTACCCTGTTCCCTAACCCCTATATACCACTTTTTCTCCTATCTGCATAGTTTTGGTCTGCTTCTGATCCTAATGTCTTCCTTATCTGTAGCTTTCAAGAAACAACCTGAGCTGGGTGAGGTGGTGCATGCCTGTCATCCAGCTACTCAAAAATGGAGGTAAGAGGACCGCTTGAGCCTAGAAGTTCAAGTACTACCTGAGGCAATGTGCTGGTCAGTTTTGGTGAACCTGACACAAATTAGAGTCACCTGGGAAGAGAGTGCCTCAATTGAGTAATTTCCACCATCTGATTGGCCTGCGGCCGTATCTGTGAGGCATTTTCTTAACTGATAATTGATGCAGGAGGGCCCATTCCAACGTGGAAGATGTCACCCCTGGGCAGCTGGGCCTGGGCTATATAATAAGAAAGATAGCTGAGGGGCTGGAGAGATGGCTCAGCGGTTAAGAACATTGGTTGTTCTTGCAGAAGACCCAGGTTCAAATCCCAGCACCCATATGACAGCTAACAACTGTCTCTACCTCCAGTCCCAGGGTATCCGACAGCCTCTTCCAACCTCCGAGGTCATCACACAACACGGGAGCACTTACCTACATGCAGGCAATATACGCATACACATAAAATAAAAATAATAAATAAAATTAAAAAAAGAAAAGAAAGATAGCTGAGAAAGCCGGGGGAGCAAGCCAGTCAGTAGCATTCCACCATGTTCTCTGCTTCGGTTCCTGCCTCCAGGTCCCTGCCTTGGCTTTCCTGGATGGACTGTCACTAGGGAATTGTAAGATGAAATAAACCCTTTCCTCCCCAAGTTGCTTTTTGGTCATGTTGTTATAGCAAGAGAACACTAAGACAGGCAACATAGTGAGGTCCTGTCTCAAAAAAAGAAAAATGACTTAACAAGTCACAGGTCAAGGAGTTACACTGTCCCCAAAGCTTTTCTTGACTGTCCTCTGACTCCCCAGATATTTTAGGTGGCCCTCAAGTGAACAGTCAAAGCAGAGCTTTTAGTCACTGTGCTTTGCATGGCCTTGTTTCCCAAACATAGACTGCTCTGCTTCCAGGCAGGGCCTGTCATCCTCACATTGCATGGTGCAGCCCAGCCAGAAAATGAGAATTGAACTAAGCAGAGACACTTACCCACAGATACAATGATGTCACCACCACAACAGATAAACTTTAATCCTATTTTCTTCACACTGGAGGAAAAAAAAATCTGAAAACAGACACCACTTCCTTTCACCTTCTGCTAAGGATCTGGACTTGCTCAAGCTGAAGGAATTTCATCCCTGGGCCTGCGTCCCAAGAGAGAGGCCCACTCTGTGGCCTCTGCACCTGGCAGGAAAGAGTGCCTAAGGAACGCTTATCGAGTTACTGTCAAAGTCAGCCACAGAAGCATGGACTCACCCTGCTGGTTATACGCCCAGCCGAATTTCCTGGAGTCCTGTAAGGCCTGACCCAGGAGGGCAGCCTGATGCATCAACTTCTTAGGAACGCAGCCCACATTTACACAGGTACCACCAAGCCCTGAAAAGAAAGCAGCATGTCAGTGCTCCCTGTGTGCGGCAGGTGTGCACATCCATGTGGCTCCCCACATCTGTTGTGTGGACGGTTGTAGTTTCCAAGATCTATACAGAGTTATTAAATTGTGTAAAACAGATAAGCTCAAATGGTGGTGGAGATGACATTCCACCTCAAAATGAAGTATAAACAGCTAAGTCAAGTCTATGGAGGAGACCCAACAATGAACAAAGACATGGGGTCTATGCTAAAAGTTTCCATGCAGTTGAATCTCAAGTTTTCAATTGCATCTAATGCTCAAAGGAATTCAAGTTGCCTTAGCTATAAGCACCCCACCCATTCCTATACCCAACACCCTCCCCCTAACTTCCACCCTACACTCAGTGCAACTTCAGTTTCTACTCTGTCTCTCTCTAACTCTGACTCGTCTAAGCCAACAGTCAGGTCTCACAAGTTGCCTGGAGGCACCTGCTCTGAATGTGACTCATACAAAACAGGACATGCCTAAGTGCACCCCTTCACACAACCCAAATCAGGGATTCCCTCTTGCCAAGGTCTCTTTGGTACAGCAAATGAGTGGGATAATGTCTAGACAGGAGGGGAAGGGTAAAAGTCAAGGGCACACACAATCAGGACAAGTTCAACAAAAGCAAGGTAGGCTGCTTTACCATATGAAATTCTAGGCTAAAACCTTTTGAATTAGCTTGAATTTCAAACAACAATTTTCATATTTCATTCATCACTGGCAGGAATTAGAAAGCAGAGTCAGGTTGAGTAACTGAAGAGTGCATAAAGAAATTATGACTAGGTGTGGGCAGAAGAGTATGAAGGGACAGAGTGCCGCTAACCGCGACTCCAACCAGCAGAGTCGAGGCAAGGACAAAACGGACACCATGGCAGGGTTCAAGCTTCTACCAACTTTATTGCGCAGCACAATCCCTTATATCTTCCCCAAGGACCAATCACAACCATGCACACACGCAGCATATAGCGGTGGAGACAATTCATTGGTCCACACAGTCAGACCACGCTCGAGGATGTCATAGATCAGGCAGGTGGCGCATGATCGGGCGCATTGCGCTTGCGCGTTCTGGAGTAACAAGCGAGGGTAGCGAGGCTTGGCGGTCAGCCAGGGCGCCATCTTTGGCCGACTTGGCTGTGCCCGCTTCCCACAACAGAGCAGCATGCAAAGCTAGTGACATGTGGACCAATGGTGCCCCATGAGAAGGGGCAGGAGCCAGGGTGAGTGCCAGGACCCAGAGTGAGTGACATCAACAGTGTGTGGCCTTCTAGGCAAAGAGGCCTAGGGTATCAGGACCCCAGCTCCCCTTCAGTACTCCAACTAAACCCAACCAGAAACCAGAGGACGAGATGGCCAGCTACTTCTGGGCCAGAGTAGGGAAGAGACAGAAAAATGTACCTGAGGCATAAATAGAAAACAGTCTGCACAAAATCAGTGCGTTCTGTTTTATTGAGGTGGAGAAGAAAAAAATAAACCCTGCTCTGGCCTGCAGTGCACAGCAGAGGGCCAGAACCTCCTATGACTAAAGGGTAATGATGACAGACACTGATAACATCAGTTATTATGTAGCCATCAAACTCAACTGTGAGACTGAGGTGGAAACAAAGTAACTGGGACACAACATACTTCTGCATCCACAGCAATTCAAAAACACTGGTACATACATACAGAATCTACAGCACAAGCACTGAGTGCTGGGCCATGGCGTTGTCTTTCCCAAGTCTGCACTTGTGGACTGTAACACTCATTCTCCTGAGAATGAGGCAGGCTTCAGTGACATTCTAGAAAAGGAGCAATTCCTGTACAGAGCAGAGGACAGAGGAGGTAGCAACAGCTTACCCCAGGTTGTGTCCTGAGGTGATGGGACCACGAAGTCCAGCACCATGACCTTCTTTCCCAGGTTGGCTGCTTCCTGGAAAAACAACCAGATGGACAGGTGTACTGTCACTTTCTTGTGTGCATTTTTCTCTCCATTAGATAACGGTCTAAACCTGTGAGACAACAAACTATTCTCCCTGAATTGTAAAACCGTAAGTTGTAAAGCTCCAACTGACTTCATGAAAAGTCGTCTGCATGTTCTGCTTATGCTCATACCTTCGCACATGAGAGGCCGCCAGAGCCACCGCCAATGATGATGAGGTCGTAATCGTGAGCCACGTCTTCCTGAAGGAGCTTCTGTAGTAGACCATTCTGATGTGCCTAGGGGTTACCAAGGGAGAATGAACACTGTAGGACCCTATGCGCAACCAGCATGGATTTCCTTTACTGAAAAAACCTAGGACTGCAGAGATGGCTCAGCAGTTAAGAGCATGTACTGTTCTTGCAGAGGGCCCAAGTCAGGTTCCCAGCACTCACAACCATCTACATCTCCAGTGCCAGGAGATCTGACATTCTCTCTGGCCTTGGAGTGCAATGCATGCACGTGGTGCACATAAACTGACACAAGCACACACACAGGCACATAAAAATAAAAAGTAAATATATTTTTAAATCTTAGGATAATGGGAGGGGCAGGGCAGAGGAGGGGTTATGAGGGATTGATGACACCAAAGGCGTTTAGAAAAGCCATATGGAAACTTACCATTAGAGAAACTACTTAAAATGTATACATATCCATTACAAAAAGAGATTAAAAGGAGTTACCTTATAATAGGGAGACATTGTCCCTACTAGACACCATAGGCTTATAAAGTAAAAAGCCCAGTGCCAGGAATGGACACCCTCTTATGAAGCTGTGGACCAGAGGTCCCAGAGACCCTCAAACAATACTGGCCATTGCCCCTGTTCTTGGTTACCCATCAGTCATGGTAAGACTCTCCTGCTGAAGACATTACATACATGAACTATAGAACAAACAAGGAGAAATCAAGCTTTGCTGAATTCAAAGCCTCATCTCTACTGTCTAGCTTTCATAGTGCTGAAGGGTGCTCTGCAAGCTACCTGAAGAGAAAATTTAGCAGGAACCTTACCTAGCTGTGAATCCTTGGAGTTACAAACAATGGCCTGACAAGATATGCTCACTGGTGCAATAGTGGTGTGAATATTATAGGAGTAACTAACTACTTTCTAATTATCCAATTAAGGATAGGATGGAGCCCATACCTGACATTGGATATGGGCTTCATAGGATGGAGCCCATACCTGACATTGCTATCAGGCCTAGGAGTCTGAGGTTAGACAGCCTATAGGCCATGTGAGAGAGCCTAATATAATTATTCTGCTACACAGATATAGTATTAAGCTGATTTCTAATGACTTATTGTTATATCCATAGATTAATACATCTCTCAACTCAGCTTCCTTATACAGCTGATGGTGATTAACACAGAGAACTAGCCATTGAGCAGAGAATAAGAGGCTACAGACTGCTTATCCCTGAATAGGACACCTATATCAAACTTCTGCCTTCCAGGGCTCAGGGATCATTGCAGAAGAGGGGAAGAAAGATTCCAAGAGCCAGAGGAGGTAGATGACCACAAGGAAACAAGAGTTTTCCAAGACCCCTGGGCAGTTATTCATATGAGCTCACAGCAATGGTGACAGCACAGACAAATCCCACATAAGCTCAAGCCAGACAAAATTCCAGCATAGACATGGGGTAGTGGGTTAAGAAACTCCAACCTACCCAAGGAACTACTGGCAACCAATGGCTGCTGGGAGGGAAAGATTTAGTCTCATTCAAGGATGAGACTCTTAGTGGTGAGCCAGGTTCCAGTGAATGAGCCCACAGTGGAAGAAGACATTTAGGGAGACAAATCTGACTCTATAGGCTTTAATGCATGTGGGGGGGTTATTTGGTGAGAGGTTAGTAAGGGGGTACAGATACAGGAGGGGATCTAAATATGATCAAAATACAATGTATACAATTTGCAAAAATTCAATTAAAAAAGGGAAAAAAATATTACCCTTGCCCCCAAAAATATTAGGGCTAGGGATTTAGCTAGCAAGCACAAGGCCCTCAGTTTGGTCCCCAACACCAAAAAGAAAGAAAAGACCCTCATAAATAAAATATCAATCATTTATATTGCAACTGTAAATTTATCTGGATCTAAGTAGAGTGTGACTAGCTGGAATGTATGTCAACAGACACAGCATATTTCTGGACACTGAACCAAAAGACTCACACATGCTAGGCAGGTGTTCTACCCCCGAGTCACATTCCATAAGCATCCAGTTTTAATCTGTCACCATCTAACTTAATGACTACTGTGCATGTCTTACACTATAAGAATCAAAAAGTTAAATAAAAGCTGTGGGCTCTGCACACAAATGTTCACAGCCTTGACAGGAGTTCTAACATTGATGTTCATAAACATCAATGTTTATGTTGACCTCATCTTACTGAGGAACAGTCTTCATTTCTCTCCCTATCAGGAGGAAGAGGCCTGTCCTCTCCCTGGTGACCTACCTGTCAGCCCCACTCCTTCCTTCTTAGCTTCTGTTGCATTCACTTTTCTTGGGGAGATGTGATCAAATAAATGTTTGTTCGCCTTAGCTGGGTACTACAAAGACATGATCCACCTAAGTCTAGGTTGGTGAACTCATGAGTTTAACTGGGTTGTTCATAGCACAGGGAACTTACAAGTAGCTAACAATGAAAAAGAGCCTGACTTTCCAGTTTAAATATCCCTAGGGAGGGGTAGAGCCACCTGTGCCATCTCATGAGTTATGAGCAGCTTCTGAGCCATTTTGAGCCCCTTGTGGGTCTCAAGCCCTTCACCATTATGTACACACACACACACACACACACACACACACACACACACACATACACACGAGTGGTAGTAGGCCCAATCCTATGAGGGTTTGATTCAGCCAATCACGGCTGCTCTGATTTAAAGACAACAAAGGCCATGCATGCCTGGACCTAAGCATTTTGGAATGGCTTCTGATTTAGTTAGTGCAAAAGCTCATTTTCCTTAACATCTTGAGGATTACCTGATAACCAGCCTCTATGCTTTTCCATTTTACAACCCCCAAAAGGCACTTAAATCAACTGTCATTTTCTCCCCATTGATAGATACTAGTTAAAACAAAATTTGAGCAGACAGCATTGAGGAACACATAGGAGAATTATGATTACCTGGAAGGTTCGGTCACATCCACCCATGTGTACTTTGTTCACGAAAATATTGGGCACAGTTTTCTGGTTGCTGATTTCTGTAAGCACTTCCTGAACATTGGCTCCATCATCTAAAGAATAAAGAATTCTATGAAGATGCTATAAAGGGTCCCCAACCTTGGCGAGCTGACGTGTTATAACACTCACCGCACTGGTGTTCACACCCATGACAGGTCATGTGCTCTGTAACTTCTCAAGATAATAGCTCAAGATAAGAAAGCAGCCATGATTTCAGAGAACATTTTAACAAAGACCTCACATGGGTTGCTTTCCAAACAGAGTCTTCTAGGTCAGGTTTTTTTTTTTTTAATTTTTAAAAAATATTTTATTTATTATTTTTATTTTATGTGTATGAGTGTATTGCCTGTATGTATGTGAGTGTACCCATGTTGTACAATGCCACAGAGGTAAGGAAAGGGCTTCTGATTCCCCTGGAACTGGAGTTAAGGATGGTTTGTAGCCGCCACGTGGGTGCTGGGAATCGAACCCGGGTCCTCTGCAAGAGTAGTCAGTGCTCTTAACCTCTGAGCCATCTCTTCAGCCCCCTAGATCAGTTTTTTACATGTAATTCATTGACCATGCCAAGAAAAAGGGATGAACACCCTCTTAAAAGAGCAAATATCAAGGTGAAATCGCTACAACAGTAATGACTCAAAAAATACTTCCTAATTTGAAAATTTATCATGAGCACAGTCTAAGTTTAATCCTCCGCATCTTGGAAAAACACCGGGGTACAGCTACTTAGGACTTAACATTAAATTGGTACAACGTTCTTTGGGAAAACCAAAGATTCCGGATTATTTTGCCTCTTAAGGCAACTTGATCAATAAAGAGCCAGTGTCTATGAAAGCAAAGTCATGTTTTTTCTGATCACTACCACCTGCCAAATTCCTGCAAAGAATGGCAAGTGTGAAGTGTTCAGTGACTGTCACCAGCATGGATGATAAGGTTCAAAACTAGAAAGCTGAAAACTTCCCCAACTCTCTCCCATGGGTATCTCCCCCAGGAAACAGGAGTGGTATCTTTTAAGGCAGCTTAATCTATTTCATAGAAAGCTGGAAGATAGACAGAAATGCCTCAAACATTTTGAAGTTAGCAGTTTACAGGTTCCCCCATACCCTTCCCTCAAATATGGAAAATCTACACCAAATTATTTGGCACTCAAAGGTTCATTTTCTGCACAGTTGAACACACACAAAAATGGTTCATCTAACAGAAGGATATAAGAATAAATTGAATGGAGAATCGAATAGGGCAAATGGAGAGGACCATCGTCTACTACAAACAATACCATGTGCTAGTAAGTAGCCCACTCACCAACTTGATCAAGTTCCAGGATGTTATAGTCAATGCCCAAGGAAGAAAAGAGTTCTTTAACCTGTAAGAGAAATCTACATTAGCCTCATGCTTACAAAAGGTTTAACAGCTATGAACTGTGACCATCGTAACACAGTGACAAGAGACATCCAGCACAGATGTCCTTCAAGAATTTGAGTTCTGGCCCTTGGTGTTTTCATTCTTTCCTCTGTACCATTTTCCCAGAGTAACCTAGCCCATGAGTTCCCTTTCTTTAACTCTGTCTCCTTAAGACTCCTGATCAACATCTGTCCAAATCTCTCTTCTGGCTCAGGATAGGTCCCTGGCACTAACCCACAGATACCATGCTCTAAATGTAAGTCATCTCCATCATTTCTCTTCCTGTTTGTATTTCCATTCAACAGTCATTAGTTCATTCAACCATTTCAAATCAACCATCAAGCACCTAGGATCAGTCACTTGGGTTTCTAAGTCTGTGAAATGCAAGGATGAACCAGACACATTCTCTGCCCTCTAGGATAGGCAACAGAAACACAGTGACAATTTAACTATCCTTTGTTTACCGGCTGCTCACCAGACTACCCCAAAGCCTGCACATAGTATCAGACCCACAGCACAGCCTGCATTGTAACAACTGTGCAAAGCTCTGGCTGGGCATCACTTGAACACTTCCCTCCCAGGCATCTTCCAGGCCACACTAACTCCCCATCTACCCAAGGGCAGCAACAGCCAAGTCTTAGTTCACTGTGTGGACCTGTTTGGCCTTTAGTTCCCAACAGCATCTATATCTCCAGTTCTCTCTGTCATCATCTTTATACCTCCAGTTCCCAAAATTGAAGCCAGTGGTCTTTTCAAAGCCACTTTGTGACCCGTTACTTGAAACTCTTCGATGCCCTCAGCCTTCAAAATAAAACCTGGAGGTGCCAAGGCCTTAGCAGACTTATACCATGGTGAAACATATGTAACCATGATAATTAGTAATTATTTAAGAGCATTTGGCAAATGAGCATTTACTTTATAAAGTCTACTAAAATCTCAGAAAGAGCAGAGCCTGTGGCCCATGAGCCTGGTCCTACCTCTTACTCCCCTGGTGGGAATTCCAAATAAGCGTGGCTCCAAAATAGTATCTCATCCAAATGGCAGGTAGCCAGCATCTCTCAGCCCCACCCCAGCTCTGACTCACAGAGGCTGCCTCCTGGCATGGAGAGCCAACAAAACAGGGGCTCCCTTCCTCCACTCAGCCCTATTTGAGGTCAAAGGCTGTATGCAGTAGCAGGTAGAAAATACTAGGGCCCCAATCACCCTCTTCCTGTGTACCCTGTAAGGTCAAGTTCCAGGAAAAGAAAGGTAAGCCAGAATGGCAAGACCAAAGGCTGCAGGCCCATTAGGAACCCTGATCATGAGGCAAGGCTGTCACTCACTGAGAATTAGGTCACTATCCCCACCTCTAGCTCAGAAACAGGCAACAGGGCTTTTGTAAGGGGAGAGGCAGGCCATAATAGCAGAGAGCTCCTGACTGACTTCATTTGAAATGGTCTGAGGGGAAACTCAAGCTCAAAGGCACTCTTGGAACCATGAAGACTACTTGGTAAGAAATGAGGAAGAGGTCAACAGTTCCCTTAAAGCACCAGGCTAATCCACCAGTCAGGTAGATTACAGGGAGAACAAGGGCAGTCACTGTGGGAAAGGATGATGATGCCCCAGAAAAATAAAATTAGAAATACCTACATCCCAGCAATGCCATTTCCAGTTATATACCCAAACAATGGAAGGCAGTGACTCAAGCAGGCATATCTGTTCACTCACGTTTGCTGTATTACTCCAAGAGCCAAAAGGCACAGTTTGGTGAAAGCAAGACAAGTATCAACTGGCCCTTGGACAGAAAGGTAAGATGTATACACACACACACACACACACACACACACACACACACACACACAATGGTTTATTATTCACCCTTAAGGAAGAGGAACATTCCAACTCACGCTACAACATGGACAACTTGGGGGCCTTGTCGTAAGTGAAACAAGACAGATGAAAGAGACTGACTCAGAATGATTTTACTCACATACACCCAGAGTGGTCAGACTCACAGGAAGTCAGTGTTTAATGGGCGTAGAATTTCAGTTATAAAAGTTCTGGAGAAAGATGGTGGTGAATCTGCCTTGTGAATGCAGATGGTGGTGATTCAACATTGTGAATCTGCCTAATGTCACTCACATATACTCTGAAAGATGGTTAAAACTGTAAATTTTATATTATGGACAGTTTACTACAGTAATTTTTAACAAGCAAATTAATAACAACATAAAATAGTAAATCACAAATGCATGAAATCAAGATGGAGGCAGTGCCTTAAAATTAATGTAACAAATGTGTTTTTAAAAAAATCAAGGACACAGGTACCTAGTGCATTCCGGTGCAGATGTTTAAAGACCCTTTGGGGGGGTCCCCCGCTCACCTCTGGGGTCGGGGGCGGGTGGGCCCAAGGGGAGGTCCGGGATCCATCCCTGCTCCCTCGGACTCCGCCCCTCCACAGTCTTTCCTCGGGTGGGGGGGGGGCGGGAGCCCCCCTGGGCGCCTGTGGGGTCCGTCTGAGCACTCTCCCACTTGCACCCGGTGCATCTGATCCCCGTGTCCGACCTTTCTGACCCCCCTCTGCGTGGGGCTGGAGAGATGGCTCAGCAGTTAAGAACACGGTTGTTCTTGCAGAGGACCCCGGTTCTAATCCCAGCACCCACATGGCAGCTAACAACTGTCCATAACTCCAATCCCAGGGGATCTGACAGCCTCTTCTGACCTCTGCCTGACTTCTGTGGGCACTGAACGACACAGGTGCACTTACCTACATGCAGGCAATACACACATACACATAAAATAAAAGTAAGAAATAAAATTTAAAAAAAATCAAGGACAGCTGTTAAGGTTTGGTTCAGGTTATCTTACATCTGTCCTTCAACCATGATTTGCTAGTCTAGCTGTCTCTACACTTAGTTCTCTAAGTTTTGTGTGATGGCCAGACTTCAAATCATGGACAGATCCTGCTACAGCTCTGGTAAATTTTCTTTGCCACATTACTAAGTCCACACTTACCAGCAAAGCATTTTAAAGCACTTCAACTTGTGAAATTTCACTTCCAGCCCTTTCCTGGGAAGTCTCCTGGTTCCCTTTCTTATATCCATGCTGAGTCACACTACCTTCCTTTGTTCTCTCAGGTCTTTGCCTACATCAATTCTTTACCTGGTGTTTTTTCTTACCTCAGACATCCACCTTACCCAACAAGGACCAGCCTACCTGTTCTCACCTTAGCCTGTCCTCATCCCCCACAGAAACTACTGTTTTATTCTTCATTCCCATGGCCTTCATTTGTCATAAGCTCTTCTTTCTGAATGTGAGCGCTAGCTGATGACAGCTCAGCTACTCTGGAGTTCTCAGGAGGCCAAAACCATTTTCTATTGTCTAACATGCTAAGCACCTAGTAACTAATGGTAAATGACATTACCAGCCAATCAGGGAACAAATCTCTACTTGATCCTGAAGGGATCATATGTGGAATATGGCACTGGATTGTGGGTGATACATTTACAAGGCCTATGAGCAGACAAAATCAAGTCAGTGAATGGCCTGGTTAAAAACAGATGTGAGAAGGCAGGCTTCTAGACCAGGCAAGAAAAACACTCAGGGAAATTGCTAGAAGACCTACCATCAAAGTGGAAGTGGGAAGGCTGAGGCAGCAAGGTGGAAGTTCAGGCCAGCCTGGGCTACCTAAGGGATCCTGTCTCAAAAAGTGTCTTCCTTACTCCTAAAAATCACTGCACATGTGCGCGCGCGCGTGCGCACACACACACACACACACACACACACACACACACACACAAACCAGAAAGACACCTGCATGTATGAAGACCAGATGGATGGAAAGGATAAGCTCTCCAGTGAATGAAATAGGGTAAAGGTAAAACCTGAACTAGACCTCATCCACACCAACACCAATTCCACATGGACTAAAGGGACCATATGGATGAAAACCAGACCACAAAACATGCAGGAGTCACATCAGAGGTCTTTATGAGCACAGAGAATAAAACAGAGCTCCTTGTAAGACTCAAAGCCACAATCTGTGAAAAAAGGAGGGTGGGTCCCACTACACACCTCACAAACCCAGTTATCAAAGACCTAAGACAGCCTATAAATCAGAAAGATAAGAAACAAAAGACCTGAATGGTTCACAAGAGGAAACTCAAATGAGCCATAAACAAAAGGGTTTCCTGAGGGAAATGTAAAAGTCAAGCCACAGTGAAAGACCATAATCTACCAGAACAGGAAAACTGAAAAACAGAGACTGTAAGCAAGGATACAGAGCCAGAGGAACTGTGACACACTCACTAGCAGGAGGCCAAATCAGTATAAGGACCTGGTAACACCCTGGGATTACATCCCGTTACTGTGATTGCTCTCACACATCTCCACAATCCAGCAATTCAGATTAAAGACACCCATCCCTCCAGAGTACAGATAGGTAGGTCTAGCAGGTGTGTACTTCGAAATGTAACACAAAACAGGCATCCTGCCATGTTGTTTTTAGGATTAAAATGCTAAACCAGTTGTCAGGGCTCATGCCTATAATCCCAGTAGTTAGGGAGGCTGGGGCAAGTGGATTGCCACAACTTCAATGCCAGCCTGGGTTACATAGTGAGTTTCAGGCCAACCTGGGAGCATCAGATCCTGTCAAAAACAAAACAACAGTGAACTAACAATTAATGTGTGGTGTGGTTTAGCCTAGGGGACAGTACAGTAGTGAGAATTAATGTACCAGAGCTACGGGTACTAACACAGGCATCTCTAAGCGTAACTGCTGAAGAAATAAATGTAAAACAATGTGTGTGACTCTACCTACACAAAGGCCCAATCGGGCCAAAAGGAACAAAATACTGTTAATAATAGGTATGCATCTAGCGGCTCTGTAGAGAAGAGCAAGTGATATTCAACAGTGGTTAACCCTGCCAGGAGGGAGGAAACATCCAAACTACAAGCTGCTGGTGTCATTTTATTAGTTTTTAAAATGAATACATATTCATGTGTGTGTGTGTGTGTGTCTGTGTCTGTGTGTGTGTGTGTGTGTCTGTGTGTGTGTGTCTGTGTATGCGTGATGTGCAGGCCAGAGAACAGCCTCAGGTGTCATTCCCAGGAAGGTGGCCTACCACCTTTGAGATAAACGCTTTCTCTCTGGCCTGAAGTTCATCAGTTAGGTTAGGCTAGACCCACTTGTTTCTGACTCTTAGGTGCTAGGATAAAGTGCTCCCCACTATGCCTGTCATTTTTAACACGAGTCCTGGGGATCGAACTCAGGTCCTACAGCTAGCAATGTTTTGTTCTGCCTTGTTTGTTTCTTGTGACAAGGTCTCTGGTAGTCCAGGCTGGCCATGAATACATGATCCTCCTGCCTCAGGATCTCTTTTTTAACAGTGCTAGATGGAACCCAGGGCCTGGCTAACCATTGAACTACACTCCTGACCCTTATTATTTCAACTTTCTGACAATATTAATAGCAAAATATTGAAGATCTCCATCTTGCTGGTAGGCTATCTTCCAAAGATTTGTTTTAAAGCTTATAATAGAGAAATAATGCTGAATGCCCACAGCCCCAAAAGTTGTGGAGTATGCAACAGAGCTTAACTACCCACGACTTCCAACAGCGCTTACAACCTCCCTTACCTTCATCTTACAAGTTAATACCTGGGTCCTGCCTAGTTCTAAAACCTGGTCACAAAACCAAACACCAGGGTTAACAAGTGGGATCTGAACCCAGCTCCATTGGACCTTGACATTGCTTGCATTTTCCAAGCAAGACAAAATTTTAAAGATTTTTCTTGTCTTGATAAACTTAAGCCCACACCAAGAGCACATAACCGAGCTGGGAGGACAGAATAGGCTATAGTAGGACGGGGTGAGCTGGAAGCAGGGTGGACCAGGTCCCAGGTCTGGCTCCCAGCAGGCCATGATGACCTTCGCCTGCCCAGTGCTTCTGAGTGGCTCCAGGTCGGCCCTGGACCCGCCCGGCCCCTCCCTGGCCTGGCCCCGACCCCAGGATCCAGCCCGCTGAACTCCACTCAGACACCCCCACAACATCAGCTTTTCCCCACCCACTAAGACCTGCCCCTGAGCAGGCCCAGAGCCCCAAGTCTCTCCATCCCCCAACCCGCTCTGCCTCTGGGTCCAGTCCATTGAGCTCTGTCACTGAGTCCCACTCCCACCCTGGGTTCCGCTCCCAGAGCTCCACCCCGCCCCGCGGCTCCAACCCACCCGCAGCTCCACCCCGTCCCGCAAGCTCCACCCCGCCCCGCAGCTCCAACCCGCCCCGCAGCTCCACCCGGTCCCGCAACCTCCACCCTGCCCCGCAGCTCCGCCCCGCAGCTCCACCCCGCCCCGCAGCTCAGCTCCGACCCAGCCCGAGCGTCTTGTCTCTTCCGACCGGGAGCCCTTCCCCTTAGCTTGCCCCTTCAGTCCCGCCCCGTATGGCCCCTGACACCTGCCTGTTCCGACTCCGCCCCGGCCCCGCCTACCCGCGTGCTGTGGGGACAGTAGCTCTTGCTGAAGATCATCACCCGGTTGCCCTCGATGAGGTCGCGGAGGCGACGCCGGACCTCCTCGCGGGCCTCGGAGAACTGGCGGCTGGTCCCGGGGGACGACAGGCGGGCGCGGCGCTCGGGCGGCGACGACATGGGCCCGCCGCGGACAGTGCCCAGACGGCGGCTGGGGACGACACCCGCCTTCCCCAGCCCAGGCGACGTCTGCGCCCGCGGCGCCGGTGGCGGCGGCGGCGGCGGGGACGGCGGCTGTTCCAGGGCTTCGCTCTGGCTCCAGGCCGGACTGGCCAGGCCGAGCCTGTGAGGAACCGGGACTCGGACGACCGCGGAGAGAATGGCGGCTGCCGAGGGGAAGGCGCGGGCTCCGCCACTGAGGACCTGTGAACGGAGAGTCACTCGGGGCCACTACTCGGCCCCGCCCCCACTCGACCTCGGCCCCGCTCACGTGGTGCCCCCGCCCACTGAACAACCCCGCCCCCCCACTGCAAAACCTGGCCCTGCAGTGTAGCCAGGCCTCCTAAAATAACTCCGCCCCACCGAGTACCACCACCCCCCCAGTGCAGTCCACCCTGAAACCGCATGAGGCCCCGCCCACAGAGCACAGCTTAACGCCCCGCCTACTAAGCAACCAGTCTCCTAGGTTCAGACCCCATCTTGCAGTGTAGCCACACCCCCTAAGCAACCCCACCTCTACACCACAGGCAAACCCCCAGGCTGGTCCGCCTTCTGACCCCCATCACTACCACCCCGAATAGCCCCCCAATCCACTCCCCACCTGCTCACCCTCACTCCCCGAGTTGAAGTCTGGCCTGCCCAAAGGAGTCATACCTTGGCACAACCATGCAAACAGGAACTAGGCCGCCTACCCAGGGGCATAGTAGTCACTTGCCATTTACAAAGGTGCAGAATCAAACTTGGTATGCTCCTTTACTGTAATTATTATTTTATTACAGCTACTGCCGCCTAGCCTCTGTGAGGAGGCCCAGAGACTTCTGGGCAGCAGTACTTTCCCCTCCTAATTCTTGCCACTAGCCTCCTCAAGCTACATAGATACTCGTCGGAAAGGGAAGGTATTTCCATTTTAGTTTTGGAAATGTCAGTAAATCCATCTCTAGGAAAGACTAAGTGTGCATCACTCAAGCTGAATAAAACACCTTTCCTATTGCAATGCAGTTTCAGCATGAGGTTCCTAGGCCACAGGCTCTCAGTTTCCTGCCACATAGCATCCTGGAACCACTCAAAACAAAGAGACCCAACATCTGTGTCTAGACAAATACTGTAGGCAACATTTATAAGGGAAGCCAGAGAGCTACCTTGCTCTGGGTGAAATGAAGACACAGAAAACCCAGAAGGAGCTCTCATCAGAACAGAAACGTTGTCAGGCTCACCTCCAGCCTCCAGAACCAGGAAATCTCTGTTTCTAGGCCAGCCAGCCTGTGGTACTGTTGTAGCAGCCTGCACACACTACCATGCCCATTCTTCTTCTTGTCAGGTAGATCTTGGCATAAATGGTACCTTCCTGAGGACCCCTTGCTATATATCCCAAACCAAATACCTCAAGCTCCACCATTTCCCACATTTCTAGATAAGATGGGGATAGGAAGGATGGATGGGGCACTTATATATTCTATATTGTAAATGTACATTCATTTCCTACACTGTAAAAGGAATACACAGATACAGACACACACACACACACACACACACACACACACACACACACTGTAAAAGCTTTATTGGTCCTGAGTTTAACCCCCAGCTCAGGTAGCGCCTAGAGGAACACAGAACTGATACCAGAAGACACTGACCATGCTGAGCACCCTTGGGAGTGTTCGAATCCAGCCGTCCAGAGAGCAGTATGAGGGAAGCACAGAAGAGTCAAGGAGAGAAGCACCCACGAGTGTCAGGGACCAGGCTGCCCAGCTGACCCCAGCTGACCAGAGCTCTGGAATGATGGACTGTCTTTGTCCCTCCTCCCTATGTAACGTGCAGGCTGGAGATGAGGTGGAAGGCTATTTTCCTAAGGGTGAACCTATGGTCTCAGATCTCCAGCTCTGAATAAGTGAAACTTAGATTCAATTCCTATCTCTGTTCATTGGCATTTTTAGTTTAACACTGTTAAAACATTGTTAAAAATCACTATTAGTGTAATAAGTTTTAAATTTCTTTGTGTGCATGTTCATGTGTAGATGAGTGCACATGTGTGTTCAGGTACATGTGTGTACATGTGTACACATATGTGTGTAGGGCCAAAGGTCAATCAATCTCAAGTAGCGGTCCTCCAAAGTTATCCTTTTGGATTTTTTTTATTATTGAATTTTTATGTAGTTCAGACAGAAAACACCTTTATACCACTTTCGTAGATTCTGTCATGTGTGAAGGTCTATCATGTCAAGTTAGTGTCCCCAGATGTCCCTCAGTGCAAGTTCATCCACTGGGATCTAGTCAGCTGATCTAGAGTCCCTCCCTTTAAGAAGATCAGTTCTTCCTCTCCCAGCAGTAATCAGCTGCTAATAATTCTTCAACTAAGATTGGGGCCTGCTGTTCATTTCCACAGTTCTGTGCTGGTTTGTCTGCTTAAGTTTGCATGGGTCTTGTGTACCCATTGCTGTAGGTTTGTGTGTGAAGAATCCCAGGTGCTTTAAGGGCTATTTCCATATGGTCATGCACCTTGTTCCTGGTTCTTACAATCTTTCCACCCCATCTTCCACAATGGTCCCCGAGCCCTGAATGGGTGGATTTTAATATAGGAGTCCTGTCCGAGGACCCACACTCTGCTGACTGAGTTTTGACCATTTGTGACCTTTTGTGTTCCTGGCCATCTGTTGCATGAGGGAGTGTCATTGATGAGAGTTGAAAGATGAGTTGGTGTTCTCTTCATCCCTTGTTCTATGTTCCATGAGCCTTAAGTGTAGTGGTTGTATCCTAGATGTGCCACTTAGGCTTGGGCAATTCACAGGCAATCACTGTGTGTGACCAGTTGTGAAACTCTGTAATTATCTCTGTCTCTTGAAAAAGAAGCTTCTTTGATGGGTGGTAACTGGGATACTTGTCTGTAACTTTAAGGATCCATATTTTGCACAGTCAGAAATTATGTTTGTCTAGGGATGTGACAGCCTTGGAGTTTTCTCTAAGATCTATGACCTCTCCAGCTATGTGTATTTGGCTAGGTTTATAGTACCACACATGAGTTTCCTCCCATTGAGTGGGCTTTAAGTCCAATTAGGTAGCTGTTGATTACCCCGAAGATAAAAGTGCCACTACTGCATCAATGTTGTTTACTGTGTGGTTTTTAGGCCTTGAAGCTGGAGTTGAACCATAGATTGATGTTCTTCCTTACCAGCTTGCATAATGCTCTCCAAAGCTATGAGCGCTGTCCTTCAGGGGAGGTGGCATCCAGGTCAGTTCCAGCTCCATTGCTCCAAATCCTATGTCCAAAGTATGTCCTGTCTTCAGCAATAGGGTCTTACAGTCAAGTTCTGGGAGGCAATCAAGGACTGTGGCAATAGCCTGTGTAATTTTGGAAGTCTCTCAGACTACCCTGACCAACAACTCGAAGATTTCTCCTGGCTGGCACTGTTCTTGTTATGTCATCTTCAGCCATGCTCACAGACTCACGTAAGGATATTGTATGTGTAATTTCTCAGTAGGTTTTTGGACTAGTACAAGTCCTTCTGGTTTTTTATACGACCTAGGCACTATTTATGTCTCCTCTTTCTCTCCCTATCTTATCCTCCCTCTCTGCCCTTCCCATTTAAAGCGTGCCTATTTTCCCCATTTCTCCCTTGATAATTCCTATTTGCTATGGTCTCACCTCTCTTGAGCTCCTTCTTCCCCTTTGTTCCCATAGTTCTTTGTATAGCCCTTCTTCTCCCCCTTCCCTTTATCCCCTTTTTACACATTTTCCCCTTAGTAACACCTGTCTCCTACTACTCTCTTCTTTCTAGGGTTCCTTCTTCCCCTTTACCTCCCTGGTTCCCTCTCATCTTTTAATTTGGTCATTTGTTTTCTTGATTCTTTGTTTTTGAGTTCTCTATATATTCTGGATGTTAAACCGCTGTCAATGTGTCACAGGTGAAGACTTTTTTTCCCCACTCTGGGTTTTTCCTTCACTTTCTTGATCCTTTTGCTGTACAAAAGATTTTTAATTTAATGAGGACCCACTTGTTGATTGTTGACTTTAATTCCTGAGCAACTGGTGTCCAATTAGAGAGTCCTTTCCTACACCTATATCTTGTAGGTTACTGCCAATGTTTCTTTTAATAGTTTCAGAGTTTCGAGTTTCACATTGAGGTCTCTGATCCATTTGGAGTTGACTTTTGTGCAAGGTGAAAGATAAAGTCAGGTTTCACTCTTCTATGGGTGGAGACCCAGTTTTGCCAGCACCATTTGTTGAAGATGCTGCCTTTTCTCCATTGTATGTTCTTGGCACCTTTGTCAAATATCAGGTGGCTGAAATTGCATGTACTCAGGTTTGGGTCTTCAGTGGTGTTCCATTGATCTATATGTCTATTTTTGTGCCAGTCCCATGCTGTTTTTATTACTACAGCTCTGTAGTATAGTTTGAGATTTGGTGTAGTAACCCTCCCCCCAGCATTGCTCTTTGTGCTCAGGGTTGCTTTGGCTATCTGGGGTCTTTTGTGCTTCCATGTGAAACTTTTCTTTGGTCTTTTTGAGACAGGGTCTCCTATAGCCCCAGCTGGCCTGGAACTCGCTATGAAGACCAGGCTGGCCCTGAACTCACAGAGATCCATCTGCCTCTGCCTTCTGAGTGCTGGGACTAATGGCATGTGCCACCACACCTGGCAGCTTCCGTATGAATTTAAGGATTTTTTTCTAATTCTGTGAAGTCTGTCATGGGGATTTAGATTGGGATTGCATTGAATTTATATATTGCTTTTGGTAGGATGCTCATTTTCACAATATTAATTCTTCCCATCCATAAGCATGGGAGGTCCTTCCATCTTTTGGTGTCTTTCTCAGTTTCTTTCTTCAAAGATTTAAATTTTTCATTGTAGAGATCTTTGATGTTTTGGGTCAGGTTTATTCTGAGATTTATTTATTTACTTACTTATTACTTATTTATTTATTTAGGCTATTGTGGATGGGAGGGTTTCCCTGTACTTTCTCTGATTGCTTGTTGTTGATAT